AATATTGTTATTTGGTTTCTCGGTTTATTAGTGGTAATAATATGAAAATCGAAAATTATTATATTCATTAATCCACGAAATTAGTAACAGATCCAAACAAATATTCATGAACCGGTAAAAATATAATTAACTGTGAAACAAATTCAAGTTAGATTTGTTCATGAAAACGTTTATTGAGGAGCTTGTTTTATGAAACGTATGCAGATTGGTTCGTGAAAACGTTTATTGAGAAACTTGTTTTATGAAACTTTTGGGGATGAACTGGTTGCGTAATATAATATTCTTGCATAATCTTGTTTTCTTATCAACAGTATTTGATGAAATTGTTTCATTTTGTTTTATTTTTTTTTGGATGATTTTGTTCACTTAATGGTTAACAAAGCATGTAATGGTAAATGCATTGACTCTATGAAACGTGTTCGTATTGGAAGAAATTGGTTGATGAAATTGGTGCATAAAGAAAGTGAAACCATTTCATAATTGATAAGAAAATGTTGTGTTATTAGCGAACAGTGAAACAATTTCATTATTACGATGAAACAGATCCATCTACCAATAACATGAAAATGACAAATGTCTCATCAGACATTACGTTGATTAGTGTATGATGAAACCGTGAAACCATGTCGGATTGCAAAAACTTTATCGATGAAATGGGTGCATAACGACAGAGAAACCATTTCATAATTGTTAAGAACATGTTGTTTAATTAGCAAACAGTAAAACCATTTCATAATTAGATTGAAATGAATCCATCTACCGGAAACTTGAAAATGACAAATGTTTCATCTAGCATTACGTTAATTTGTGAATTGATGAAATTGTGAAACCATTTTTTTCATGAAATGTAGTAGTAAATTTATTATTATTATTATTCAAAACATTTCATTATGTTAAATTGATTATAATGTATTTTATTTTTATTGTTGACCTATTTTAATGATGGATGTCATTTTTTATAATATTTGAACATAAAATTAATATATTATTTTACAAATGATTTTGTTTCATTAATATTACGATATACATGATATGGTTGCCATTAATATCACCACTACTAAAGTTATCATTTTGCCTTTTTTAGATTATAAAATAATTTTTTATTTTTTATTTTTTTTAATTTTCTAATATAACCTAAACTAATCTTGACCATTGATCAAGAAAATGGATTGATGAGATTGGTTTGCATGGTTTACACAAATGAGGGCGGTTTTCATTTGATCGCTCTCTCTCTCTCTCTCTCTCTCTCTCTATATATATATATATATATATATATAGGGTTGGGTTCACGTGAGACCAAAGGTTTTTCGTGAGACCCGTAAGACCATTTTATGTTCATTGATCAACTTTATAAGCTAATGATCTAATGGTCTAAAGCTGCACGGTAACAATTTTGTGATTATTGAGAAGTCTCGTGACAATTTTGTGATTATGAATGTTCATATTGTAGATCTAATCCAAGGGTTGAGAATTGGTCTTACGGGTCTCACAAAAAACCTTTGGTCTCACATAATCCCAAGTATATATATATAGGGGCACGTGCAAATGAAAACCGTGCATTTCTAAAAAACTGTGTAAACCAATTTCGACCAATAGGAAAATTCCATTTTTTCTAATTAAATTTAATCAATAAGGGTATTTCGCTCATTTACAATATTTTCTATTAAATATGGAAGTTATTAATAAATCTTAATTAAGGAAACGTAATAAAGAAAATTGTATAAATGATAACATTTAAATATTTAATTATATTATAATATTAAAAATTTGAATTTGATATATTGTTATGAGATTGAATCTGCAAACTGGTCTTGAAGATTGTATTGCATTATGGAATGAAATCGTAAATTATAGTTCAAATTAAAAAAAAATGTTAATGAAACAGGTTTCATGAAGGTGAAATTGGTTCATGTTGTAATTGATTCATGAGTAATATGAAATCGTTTCATGGTGAACCACGTTTTAATGATGGTGTAGTTGATCTGTTTAATAGAAAAAATGGAACATGAAACGGGTGTATAATTTATTTGGTTCGTCATGAAATAATTGCATGATGAAACGGGTACATGATGAATCTGTTTCGGGATCTTGAAGATTGTAATTTGCTCAAAAATCTTGAAGATTGTAAGGATTAAAGGAAAGAATGCATTAAATCATGAGTGAAATAAAAAAATTAATTTATATGAAACAAGTTTCATGAAGGTGAAATTGGTTCATGTTGTAATTGATTCATGAGTAATATGAAATCGTTTCATGGTGAACCACGTTTAAGTGATGGTGTAGTTGATCCGTTTAGTAGAAAAATAGAACATGAAACGTGTGCATAATTTAGTTGGTTCGTCATGAAATAATTGTATGATGAAACGGGTACATAATTTATTTGGTTCGTCATGAAATAATTGCATGATGAAACGGGTACATGATTAATCTGTTTCGGGATCTTGAAGATTGTAATCTGCTCCAGAATCTTGAAGATTGTAAGGATTAAAGGAAAAAATGCATCAAATCATGAGTGAAATAAAAAAATTAATTTACATGAAACAAGTTTCATGAAGGTGAAACTGGTTCATGGCGTAATTGAACAATGAGTAGTGAACTGCTTTCATGGTGAAACCCATTTCAGTGATGGTGTAGGTGATCCATTCAGTAGATGAAATGAAAAATGAAACGGGTGCATAATGTAGGTGGTTCGTCATGAAATAATTGCAAGATGAAAAATAAATTAGTTTCATTAATAATAATAAATGTTAACGTAAAAATAATAAATTACTTTACAAAAAATAAATTAGTTTCATTAATAATATTTGGTTTTACCCTTTTGCCCTTATCGGTATTATAAAATGTATTTTCAATTTTTTCTATTTTTAATTTCCTTAAATAACCTTGATTAATCTTAACCATTGATTAAGAAAATGGATGGATTAGATTGTTTTACACGGTTTTCAGACGATCCAAATTGTCCGGAGTCATCGTAAATTACGATAAATGAATCTGACTTTATTTTTCTGTTTATGAAATTATGTCATTTTTTAATTACAAAAAAAAAAAAAATACTTGATTTACGTGATTAAATAACTATTGTGAAGATTTTAAATATACGTTTTTTATCTTGTATATTTGTATAATGTTGTTATCGTCATCATTACCATTAATCATTGAATGTGTTTTTTCATGACAAATAAAATAATAACCACAGTAATTATGATGTTACTAATAATGTTGTTAAATTTATATTATTAATGGCGTTAATCTTACGTTAGTCGTGGTTATATTATTCCTACGACCATCGTCATCTCTTAAGACTTTGATATAATTTTTCTAATGACAACTTTGTTAAATGAATTAAAAATGATGAATTGGGTTGACGTGGTAAAATCTTATACATGGTTCTAAATTGTTATACAGGATTATTTATAACACTAACACACACAAGTATATAAATACATGTATATGTATACACATGTCGATTTAGGGCATGCCTTGAAAAACATTATAAGACGTAAAGTTTAACCTGTCGTCATGTACGCCACACTTCATGTCATTTAGAATCTTGATCAACGAGAACCAATTATGATTACAAAAATGGAGGTGGGTTGATGGGCCGGAATAAGTGTTTGTGGGTTTGAATAGTTGATTCAATTAATTTGGTGCCCCCAAACCCAAACCCAAACTCAAACAAACACACATGTGCACAAAATAAATAGTTAAAAGAGAGGAAAATTTTGAGGTTGAGTCATGGTGATAAATCCATATATGCGGGCTTAATATTTGGAAGTATGTGAACTGTAGGATTCTTAAACAACTGTTTCATTCAGTGTATAATTACTTCCAGTTTCAAACATTTTTCCTTTTTTATTTGACTCTGTTTTTTCTTCTTAGTCTTTTCTTTTGAAAACAATTGAAAATGCAAATCAGGATACAAAACCGTTGCTGCCCTCAAGCTAAATAACTTGTATCACACATTCTTCTTGAATGTGCTCTTCATCTTCTAAGTTTAGTTGGTGCACCTTTCATATCTAAAAGAAAATGATGCAAGAAATTTATATATTCATCAATATGATGCGATAAGTTTACTCTGAATGTGTTTATGAAGTTATTTGGCTATTTTGAAGTGATAAATGAGGTTTATTATATCAAAATGATGTATCTTTGTTATTACTGCAAATATTAGTTTATAAATGTGATTTGGTGATTATTCACCCTATAATAGCATCAAAGAGATTTCTCACTAGACCTCAAGGTCTCACTCTCATTTTATGTTTTTTAAAATGTGCATTACAGGTTAGACTCAACCAAATGACAAGGAAAAAGAGAAATTGTGGAGTGTTATATTTATACTTGCATGGGAGATTGGGCTAACATGTTGTTCTTTTGTATCAGAATACTTGTTATGTATTCAAGTGTTGTATAGAGATTTTGTGCAAAAAATTGGTAGCTACTTGTAATGTAGTCTTCGTAGTTAGTGGGACCAGTTGTGTAAATTATATTTCATCATATACGAAAATATATATTTATATGCAAATGTGATATTGGGTGTTACATTTTTTTCTCGAGAATAATGCAAAAATTGTTGGACCACTAAAAATCGGACGAACGAGACTAAACCGGACTGTATTTTTTTTATAGTTGAGACGACTCGGCAATACAATTTAGTTTGAAAACTAGCCAAGTCATTCCTTTTGGTTTGGTTAGAAGTTTTGAACTTTTCATTTGACAGTTCAATCGATCAAACACTATTGCTTCTAAAAGCAGTTAAGCCACATATACTGAATTTATTATTTCTCTTTGCAACATGATGCTTAATTTGCTTGCATAATAAGTAGCTTCAAAGTGTTTTGACATTTATAGTTTCCTTTGTCAAATTAAGTAATATTGTGAACTTTACAGTATTTATATTAGCGTGACTTTTCTGTCCTCAAGTTTAATCAAACTACTTTCATTTGTGTTGTAGAATTTTGAATTTTTCATGTTCCATGTAAATCTTTAACTAATTCTGTTAGTTCATAATTTAATTATCATGATTAATGTAAGCCGTACAGACCATATTCTATGGTCTAACATGACTGGTTTGGTCATTTATGCCCAATTATGCAATTTGAAAATTTTCTTAAACCATACTTGTTGCAGCTTGGTTTGCTAAGAGATTTAGATCACCCAGATTCGTATTCAATTCACAATTGATTTGGCCCGTCTTGGTAAAAGGCACATCAAGGACAAGACTAACAGAGAACCCATCATACACCATATTCTTCAAATATAAATGACTTGTCAATTGAAAAAAAAAACATCTTTGCTACATTTTTGTCGACAACGGCAACCATATTTGCCTTTTTTGTTGAGATATAACGCACAAGAACATCCCTTGTATAACTGATCAAGTTTTATTTAACTATTAGTTTCTGGTACAATTTTTAAATATAAGACAATATTAATCTCCTAGCAACTTAATTGCTCTCCATACATTCCAGTTATGTCCTCTTCGTTCTACAAAACATCAAACAAGGTTTTCTACCACTGGTTGGTGATTGGTTCTCGCTCCAAAAGCGAGTTTGAGATACACCACCTTTAATATATACATTACCTCACACCAAGCTCAGAAGACTAACAATTTGAACAAGAACCCCTTAAAAGTCATTTTTTGTCAAATAAATCACTTTTTCTAGAAACTGTATGTAATTTTTTTTGTTCCTTTTTGTATTTACAAACGTCAAAATATTTTAAGACGAATAGCACAAACATAATTGATTACACACATAACATTAACACTAAGCAAAATACCATTTTACATACTTACAAATTACACTTGACGTAATCAAGAATAGGGTCCCTTCCCTTTCTTTCTTACTTACTACTCCAAAAAACAAATTAAAAAAGAAAAAGAAAAAGAAAAACCTACACCAAACTACCTACAAAGAAACACACACATGCATTCAATTCACCATTCCCTTTTACCATCAAAAGGTTGAGATGAAATAGCACCTAACCCACAAGCAAAAAATGGGTTTTTTTTTTATAATAAAAACGTTCAAATACAGAATAATAACGTATTAATAACATATACACGACGTCGTATTGGTTGTATATTATTCTGAATTTAACCGTTTTTTGTTTTAAAAATAGGTTACTTTGAAAACAAAATAATAGAAAAGGACAAAAAAATCAATCCAAAAGGTTGGTAGAGCGTAGCCTTCCATATATGACCTCCTCATTCAATTTCTTTTAGCCAAGACCCCATTTTTCACCTATACAATGTCACAAAAATAATTACAAAAATGTAAGGTACAAAATTTTGATTTAATTGTCTCGTTATACATACAGTATAACGAGACAATATATTAAATGAAAATTCTGAATTCTATTAATAAAAAAAGTAATTAAATTATATTACCTTAGATATTTTTGTAGATGATCTTTTTTAAGTCTTTGCTCGAAGATCCACGTTTCTAAGATCACGTAAATGTTGCAAGATTTCTTGAAGAAGTTCCATTCCTTTGTTCCCTTTTCTCAACGATCCGACGCAGTGTTTTAGAAACTCTCTATCGGCTTCTAGCGCTTGTAACCTTACGTAAAGTTGATCGACTTCCTCTTCCATGTCGATTCTCTTCTTTTGTAACTCGAATCTAGTGACGGCTGTGTTTTCTAACTTGTCGGGATGGTACCCGTTTCCGTTTCCGTTTCCGTGCCCGTTTGACGTGCTCATGCCGTCTTCGCTCTCGGTATCAACTGCGTCAAAGAGAGGAAGAAGTCTTTTCCCCGTCGAGCTAATGGTTCTTCGATCTTCGTAATGCGTTCCGTTTGCTATACCGTTGGCTCCTCGTCCGTCGAACCCGTGATTCCCGTTTAGATGTTTTCCATTCTCTTCAAAGTAATCTTCGATTTGTCGTATGTCGGAGAAGTGTCGTTCTTCTTCGTCACTCAAAGTGAAAAGCTTCTCTTCTAAAACCTTGAGTTGTTCGAGAATCGACAACCGCTCATCCTCAAAGTCCACAAATGACGAGTCCAGGTTCAATACGGTATCAACGGGCGTATTGTGGTCTCGATTTCCATCAGTTTCAAAGATTTGTTCGTCTTTTGGTTCATGATTCAAATCGACCCATGTTCCGTCCCCATCTTCCGAATGGCTACACGAAGCCGAACACGTGCCGCTCTTCACGCTACTCGTTAAAAACCGCATCCGTTCCTTAGCCTCATAATCCAACACTTTCTTTCGATAAACCTCCAATTCCTTCTCCTTTTTCACCATAAGTTCATTCAAGAGTTGCAAAGCTTCTTGATCGTATTCCGATTGTTCTTCCATCATTCGTTGGTACTGTAACGCCTCCATCTGCATTGCCGCCTTCTCTTCTTGAAGCCGGTTTATCATAGCCATCGTCTCGCTAGCGGCAACCGCCGAAGCACTTCTCTCTTCTTCTAACTCCGTATACAATGCTTGTAACGCCTTCCTTTCCGCTCTCAGAACCGATTTAAGCTTCTCGGTTGTGTTAACCGGATCGCCACCGTCCATTTCGCTTCCATCAAAAGACTCTGATTCCTTTCTTTCGATCATCAACAATGTATTACTGATTCGGTTAAAGTTCTGCGGTTCCCCCGTTTTTTCGTCTTCTCGAGCTTCTTCATAACCTATTACAAACAAAAGACAAACAATATGGTCTCATTTTGCTGAAATTTAACATTAAATTGAATACAAAAAACAACAACAACATTAAAAGATCACCATATTCAAGATTGAAATCCAAATCATGGCAACTTGTTGAAGGTTCTTCATGTGATAAAGAATATAAAGAAAAATTATCTTGAGCTTTCATCTCATCACATGAATCCAGAACTGGAATCTCTGTTCCAATCGAAACCTCTGCTTCTTCATGGTCTGCAAAAACACGTTTGATTTAACAAAATTTGAGATTAAGATTAGGGAAAAGATGAAATTAGAAGTTGTAATCTTACCTGAATCACCCTCCTCTGTTTCTTGATGTTCTTCGGTTTCCAACTGAGTTTGAGTTGGTTGAGAAATGGCAGGTTTCTCGTCAGGAAACCCGTTTAGATTTGCATGAAAAACAAGAGAATTTTCAGTTTCTTCAAATTCCATTGAATCAAGCTCTGCAAATTTGGATGATTCCTCTGTTTTTTCAATTACAGAAAGCAATTCCGCTGCATTCTGAAGAACAGAAATGGTTTCTTGGGTTTCGATTACTAATTCTTCAGTTACTGTTTCAATTTTTGACTCTGATATAACCTGAGCTTTCTGAAAATCCCCAAATTCTTGATCGTCATCAACCTCTGATTTGTTTGGGAGTTCTTCCTCGTTTGATTCGATTGGGACCAACTGATTCCCACTGTAATCTAAGAAAAATTCAAGATCTTGTGGAGGTGTTTCTGAATTCGAATCTTCTTTTTTCTCAAATTGAATCAAATCCTCCTTCGTTGATTCAATCTCTGTTTCTTTCATCTGAAATTGGATTTCTTGTTTTTCCCCAAAATTTTCAGTCTCCAAATCCGATCCCATTAGATCCATAATCGAACTTCCATTTTTGGAATACGCCAGAAAATCCCAGGAAGGATTAATGACAAAGTAAGAAGAATCATCAAAAGTTTTCTTCTCAAAATCAACACCACAGCAAGAACACTTGAAACAAACCTCATCTTCTCCATCGCTCTGAACCAAATCAATCTTTTTCACCTTTGAAAACACGAAATTTTTCGGTTTTTCTCCAAACCCAGATGAGCAATCCTGACACATATCATGGGATTCTGCCAACTTTCCATGTTTGGAACAAAACCCCAACTGGGAAACCTCTTTAGAATGAAGCTCACATAGAAAATCTCTATGTGAATTCTGGTTTTGGGGTTCAAAGAGGCGATCGAGACGAACACACCAGAGGCAAGGCGGATTTAGGCCGAAGAATTTGGCGAACTTGATGATGAGATAGGAGAAGATTGAGTTGAGAAGGAGGAGAATTATGAGGGTCCATTCAAGAACAGCATAGATAAGAACAAGTGTGATCTTGTTTGTGTTCTTATGCACCATTGTTGCAAACTTGTTGGCAGCCATGGCGATTGATGCTCTGTTTTTCTGTGTGCATTTACACGCAGAGATCAGAGAGAGAAAGAGAGAGAGAGAGAGAGAATGTTTTTGACTGAGGTTTTAAGCAAGCTTATCAATGGGGGGAAGAGCGTAGATTATTATTAATATTTTATTGTGATAATTATTTACTAATTAGGTGAATAAATCCAAGGGGAATTTGGCTACATTGTTCTTCATTTCTTAAGCTAATTATTGCTTTTTATGGTAACACAAATTTTATTTTTAATTAAATAAAATATGTAATTTTACATTCGCTAAGTTAATTTTTACCAATCAGATTTTCTGAATTAAAAAAAAAACTAAATTAAATATCGTCAACAAGATTTTATTTTATGGTTTATTAGAAAAAATTCACTCTTTTAAACCAAATTATTTTGAAAATTAAAACTTAAGAGTCGTTTACCATATGCTTACACGACGTTTACCAAGTCATATTATCTTACCGAATGAATATAACAATGACCAAAAATCTTACCTGGTAAGAATGAGACAAGGGCTGAGAGTCTTACCCAGTAAGTGGGGGCGACGACTCTTACCACGGTTGACACTTACTAGATAAATTGTTGCATATAATGTTGTTTTAGTGGACTAAAATCTTATCCAATAAACAAGTGGTGGTGTTGAATTTTACCTATAAACACTTACTGGGTAAGTGTTTGATAAACGACTCCTTAAATGTATTTTCTTTCTGAATATCGAATTAGCAACTAGTAATTATTTTTGGTAACTAAATAGGAGGAAATTGCTAGATTTTTTTCTGATTTTAATCAATTTGAAGAAATTACATTATTAGTACTTGTCAAATTTCAAGTTATATTCAAAGATTTGCTTGATTAATATTTTTATGATGTCTCAAATTGTAATGATTAATTTTTTATTCAAACAAAAGTATTTTCTAGCAACATATTTAAGAATATTTGATAACTAATTCAACATGTAAAACACATTTTCATGGCAAATAATAAGAAATTGTAATAAAGCAATTAACTTTAGTTTTCAATTATAGAATTAAGGTTAAAAAGGATTCCATAACATCTATCGAAGGGAAATTAGGTAATTTTCAATTTGATTGATTTTTTACTAAGAAATAAAGTACTTTCATATCGAATGAATAGTCGGTTCATCTCAAGATTGTACAAGTTTGATCTTTCTATGTCTTCGATGTCCAAACAAAGCAATATTTCTAAATAATACTTGTTACAACTTTTGTCACGACATGTGATGATATTGGAAATCAAGATGAACTTACGAGCAATAAGTCAAATAAATGAATCATAATGGTTTTTATTGTTACACCTCAAAATCCAAATCTGTAGAATTTGGGGATGTTTGGTTGGTTTTTCATTAAGTCATGTATGGATAAAGTTGTCTGTGTGGATTAAATTTGTCCCAATAGATTGAAAAGACTTTTGTTTGGAGGGAGTGACGTATTTTTTAATAGGGAGGGACAGTTTTTGAAAAAAACTTGACTTCCTGCCTAAAGTTTCCCATACAAGTCTACGGAATAAATCATTTTTTATATCATTAACCCGTTACCAAACAATCACGTATAACTCATTGAATAAGTTGCGAGTCTCATTAAGCTTAAGTTGCTAACAAAAAAGCTCTTAACTTCTAATCAACTTAAAACCACAATGAAATGCACGGTTTAATAAGCTTAGAAAGAGCCCATAAAAGTTCACCTTTTACCGATCTAGGACAGGTTGTAACAAACTCCTCCACTTAAATTTCTTACATTCTCCTCATGCCTACTCGTCATCTTCCTTGTTAACAGAAGATGTGAAATTCGCCTAAAATGCTACAAACACCCCTTTCCTTCAGGGGCTCATTGTCATTGATGAGGTTTTCCCTGCCATGCTGATGGCATAAGGATCAGCTTTGCTACTATTTCTAACGCTCTAAGCATGAAGCAACAAACTAATCCAATAACTTGTAAATGATAGAAGTTTATAAAAAAAAAACTCATAAATCTCATTCTTAATCCATATGAAACGACTTGTCACAGTTATTCCTTTTATTTACACAAGTTTGTTGGGTTTGCCTTGATCTTTCAAAATAAATCGAAGTAAACATCAGATTTACTCATATTCAGATAAGGTTTTTACGAATTTCGAAACAGAGTTAAGAGTTATGATTTGTTGTATGGTTATTTTTGTTGATGGGCATCAAATGGAGGGAGGGACCAAGTAAAAAACATAAGTAAAGTAGGTGGACCACATACAAAGAAATGTAAGGCATGGGTTCCACCATGAATGCCATATGTTGGACCTAATCATATTCCTTCATCTTTTCCTTTTTTCTTATTTTTGGTCAATAATCACCTTCACTTTTTCTTCATCTCCATCCTCAAATTACCTTTTTACCCTTTCATAATATTAAATCAATAATAATTATTTATTGTAAATTGATATGAATCATACTTGTTTCTTATATAGATTTTTATTAATTTTTTTATTTTATTTTACTTTAAATTTATATTCTATCCAACTAATTTTTTAGTTTTAAGTGCAAATTACTTGTGACCATAATTATGATATCTATATGCAAAGTTTTAATCATGTTCATGTGGCATCATTATGATACACAATGAGTTGTTATTATTAATGCATTCACACATGAATGAATGTTATTATCTCCTAAAAATTACAAATAAATTATTTATGTTTTTAAAAACTATAGAATTTTTGTTATATTTAATCAGAATTTTAAAATAAATTATAACCAAAAACCTATAGTAGTTATTTAAAATGTCTCAGTAATGCTACCAAGTCTCTTTAAAAATATCAAAACCAATTAATTGATTTAAAAAAATAATAATTAGACACAAGAAAACACGAATTTATATACGTTATTTTCATGGACGGCTTGACGATGTAAAAGCGAGATGTGTAAAGTTTCAAAGAATGTGGGCATCGTTGTATATTCATTTTATACGTTTAATGAAAGTTACATTCTTTATTTTTCTTTTTAAATATCCAAAGATTAATTTTTCATTCAAACATATTTTTATCACACTTAAATAGTTGATTTTTTTCATTTAACTAAAAGAATTTAAGGATAAATCATGATTTTTGGGTTTTTTTTTACAAAGTATTTTAAAATATATTAATTTATATTAAGAAAGTATGAACCAAAAAGGATGGAGAGATCCAAGAGCCTCTCCAAACTATTCAAAAAGGTAGCATTACATTTACAGCTTATTAGATCTCTTTTTAATTTATGCTTTTTCTTTATTTCTTTTTTAATTTTTTATTAAACATCAACTTTATTTTATTTAATTTAAAAGGAAGGACCACAAAAGAAGGAATACAAGATACATTGGTTAAAGAGGATCCTAACAATATAATTGAACTCTTACAGAAAAGGCACATCTACTTCACACCAAAACATTATCTCATGTCATTCCTTCAAAAACATATATATATATATATATATATATATATGTATATATATATATATATATATAAGGTTGGGTTCATGTGAGACCAAGGGTTTTTCCTTAGACCTGTAAGAACAATTTATGTTCATTGATTAACTTTATAAGCTAATAATCTAATGGTCTAAAGTTGCACGGTGATAATTTTGTGATTATTGAGAAGTCTCGTGGCAATTTTGTGATTATGAATGTTCAGTTCGTATATCTAATCCAAGAGTTGAGAATTGATCTTACGAGTCTCACGAAAAACCCTTGATCTCACATGATCTCAAATCTCTCTCTCTCTCTCTCTCTATATATATATATACATATATATACATATATATATATATAGAGAGAGAGAGAGAGAGATGAATCAAAGGGCTTAATTTCCACAGACACTTGCGACCTATACAAATGATGTAACGATTGTCTTGTTAACTCATAAACCTGATGAAAAAATTGAGCAAATTTGCGTTTTTATGAAACAAATATAAAAAGAATTCTTGAGAGAATCTTTTTCATTTAATAAAAATACTAATTCCAACTAAATGCAAGAAAATATGTGTTTATATTTATAAACAATTTTGAAAGAGTAATTGCTTTGATTTTATGTATTTCCAACCCCACATTTTTGTACTTTTTGGTAGACAATTTAAACAATGACACCTTACCACCCACTAAAGTTAAAAACAATAATCTAATATATATATATATATATATATATATCTCAAAAGCTTCTTTTCCATAATTTTGAATGGTTTCATTGGCCCCCAATTTAAGAATTAAATAACTTAATTTCCAAAATAGAATTATTTTTATTATACCAAAATCAAGAATCATGTTAACAATATACCAACATCATACAATCAACTGCAATAATATCTCTTAATAAGAAGAATAAATCTTAGAATTGCACAAGAAAATGTCTTGAAATACATTCGAGAGATACCATTAAAGCTATTAATAACATAAATAGTTTGCCGGTAAATTATGGACATGAAAACTCGATATCATACCAAAGAGTCATTTGTTAAAAAAACCAAAGTTAATATTTAACATATATATATATATATATATATATATCACATATTTGAAAAAAAAAAAGAGTCAGAACATAATAGGATGATTGTTAAATATGTGGTCGAGACCAAAAACTTAATTCATATTTGGATATTTATCGTATTTCATTTTTGAATATATAATATAATAAAAACGTATGTGTCTTGGGTAACTATTTATAATGTTTTTTTAAACAAACATTAATACAAAAAACTTGTATTAAAATTATAAACATCAAAGAAGTATTTAGTTTATCTAGAATTTCTTAACCAAAAACAGATAGCGAAAGAGCCTAGATACGATGATTTGTTTTCAGCGTCAGCTTTTTACAATGGGTCCTACTATTTGAATTATATTCAAGACAAATCAAAGTACTGAAAATGTAAAAAAGAAAAAAATATATTATTGACGGTATTCTCAACTCATGGGAGGTTCTAACAAGAACAATAATCAAATAAAAGAACACGAAAACGACAAAATCATATATATTTTTATACTAACAGTCAACATAAAGATGTTTGAACGACATGGCCTACAACCTCTAGGGTTAAAGTCCCATAAATCACATGTAATCTTGCACATGATTTTAATATAAAATCGCATATTATCTTTATTTGGTTATTGTTATCGTATAAACTTGATTAGACTAATCCCGATAAAATGTAACGGTAAGCATCACATCAGTCTTGACAAGGGGTTCCTTTTGTAATTTAAAGGGTTTGTTTCCGGAAAAAAAGGACACCAAACATCGCTTTGTTTTGCAAGATTCCTCTATGCCCCCTCCAACGACAATATCAGCATCCAATGGTTCAAGAAACAAAACATAAAAAAGAAACAGAACCCAATAAAGGAGTTTCCATAAAAATGACACCAGAAGGGCTTATGTTACAAAGCAAATCATATTATCAACCATGAGTCATTCATTACAACTACTTACCCGACTCCAGGAAAAAAAAACTTATGCCTACCAAGAATATCGTATCAATTCACTAATCGAGTGCAAAACCACAACAAACATCTCATCAAATTTTCGGATATATACTAAAAATAACTCGGTCTTTTTTTGGGTTTTCTGAACATGGAGCAGATGAGCCCTCATGTATGTTCACAAATGTATCATAATAAGGTTGTTCCAAAAGGATTTGTGGTTTGGGGGTGGCTGCCGTTGTTGACGGGGAATGGACCAAAACCGGAATCAACAAAAGGGTTTGGTGGGGCCATCATCAGATTCTGTTGTGGCTGTGGTGGATAGGCGGCGGCAGGTTGGTATTGACCGAAGGGGTTAGCCTGATATGGTGTCATTTGAGCAGACATACCAAATGGATCGGCTGCTGCTTCAAATGGGTTAGGTGCCGGAGATCCATATACAGGTTGCTGGGAGGCTCTATATGCTCCTTCATCGTACAAACTGTTGAGTGTGAGCGAGTCCAATCCACCAGCCTGCCAAGACACAGATTTATCAAATATAATCTCAAAATCTGCATTCGGAATCATATTAGATGAACGTGAAAATAACTCGACAGTTACCAGTTGCCTCTCCTGAACCGAAGAGATATTGGCGCTAGGAGTGGTGACCAAAGCAAGTTCCCAACCAGTTGGATCAAAATCTTTTCCTTGAAAACCAGATGCAGAAGTCGTGGTGGGATCTACAGAATCAAAAAAAGGAAAACGGATTATTGCTACAGAGCATATGAATAAAATAATACCACCAGTTTCTTTGTACCAGTCGTAACATGAAAACTAACCAACCTCCCCCCCCCCCCAAAAAAAACCCGAAAGACCTTTTCCCTTGGAAAAAGATGAAATTTTCATTGGACATCTTGGCGCCTAGTAATCAATAGTTTTGATTTGTGGTTATTTAACAAGTTCAAAAAAACACAGGAAGTAGGGGGATGTACCAGATGGAACAATGGCAAGAGCCAGTGCATTGCTTTCCTCAATAGCTGATCCGTTAGGTGCATCGAAATTTAATCCCTAAACAAGTCATTTCAAAGCAACATATTTTAGAAACAAGCCTTTTCCATTGTAGACTTGAAGTGGCATATGGCATGGGATTACCAAAGAAAATCTAAATAAATTACCAATAAATCATCTGGGTCCTGACTGTTGAAAGTTGGTGGGGGAGGCGGATGTGCAGGCTCAGGAACATCATTTGAAGCTGTAAATTCATCTGTCAGCACTGGTTTAGGTTCATCAACAGGTGAATCTGTATCTTCATGAGGTGATGTATCTTCTTCTGGTTTATATGTCAACATAAGCCTTTCCGGAAATTCCTGAAGATAAATGACCAAATATTTTAAGATAATTACGAAGCATATCTTGAATGAGATGTAAACAAAAGTTTGATCTTTCATGCTTATTAGGGGTTAATAGAAGACACTCACCAATGGCTGAGTCGGCCCAGCGACTAACCTTGGTGCCTCTCTTATGTACTCTTCCATTGTAGCAAGAAAGGATTGTGGAGGCTGGAACAAGTTAAAGATACAGTGTCAAAATAAGACTTCTGAAATTACCAATAATACGCCTCTTGACACTTTAGCCACCCACAACAAACACCCAGAATTAGAGTCAACCTGACAGGAAAAACAGCAATCAACAACAAGTTCTCAAGTAAGAAGTAAGAACCATACCTCTCTCAGAACAGGAAACTGGAAATTCCTAGCAAGTTCCAATCCTTTGCAAACTTCATAAAAGTCAGAAAGGCTACCAGCCTGCATAAAAGGAGTAAAAAGCTCAATTATCTGGCCCGCAAATGTTAACCACTTCAACTATAATGTATGTTTCAGTTACCTGTTGACCGGCTCTTTTATATATATCCAGGGCTTTGATGGCCTCATGTCTTGGCATCTCAAAGAACTGGATAAAAAAAGGGTAATAGATAACATACGAGCAAAAAAATCATGTTTTCAAGATTATGCGATCTTCCACATAAATATCAACAATTTACCTTATCAATAAGATTGATAATTCCATCATTCACAGCACAATAGATTTTAAAACTCTCTTTGAGCACCTGAACGTTCACAATAATAAACATTAGCCATGAGGTCTCCTGATACAAGTTGATCAAATATGCTTTCTCGTTATTCATTACTTTAAGGGAACATAAGCAGATCTTTTCATGGGAATAGGGGGGTAGGGGGAAAATGGTTGAAAAATCATTATGGCCCTGCTTGAGGAGAGAAGATGCATACAATTATGTGTTGACTATAAATAAATGTGTTGACACCATGTGAGAAGCACAAACAGATTTTGGTTAAACAAATGAACCCAGCATCCATTGGGAAGACTTCAAGTTCATATTTGTTGTTTTTAACCATCTTTTCATCATTCTCCTAGTAAGGATATCCTTTTCAACATTCTTCCTAGGATGCATTTCTTTCTTTTTTCTCACTTACATTTTGTGATCTCTTTGAAGGAACTGACAAATTTAACTATTTTGCAGAAAGTGTACTGGGACCAATTAACCATTACCCAAATAACAATTGCAGCCTAGAGCCACAGACTGCCCGACTTTCAGTTTGTGACTCTTTTCAACTAGGTAACAAGTATACAAGGGGGAAGCCATACGTACCAAAGCCAGGGCATACTGTATCAAATAATTGCCAACAGCTGCACCCTCCGGCTGTGAAAGACAGAAAAAGTCAACTTACGTTAATTGAGATGAAATTACACATGATATTGGCACAAGAATGAATATAAAAAGATAACTTGCCCTGCATCCCATAAGACGATACAGTAGCTGCTGCAAAGCAGGCAGTTGTTCCAATAGTTCTTCACTTTCCAAGTCCCTTGTTCTGCTGTAACCCTGCAATAATAAGCAGAGATGGGTTATAGGCGGAGTTTGAACTACAAAATGCTCAAAAGAGAGAAATAGGCATTTGAACAAATACTGTTGCAAGTAAGTGAGTAACAACCAAATGCTCATCAAGTTTTCCCCCAAACAGGCCTTTTCTAGACAACCTCTTGAAAGACCACATAAGGTTACCTACCCAGAAGGCTAGAATTATGAATTCAGAAACTTTAGACTGCTTTCGTTTCTTTAAATAATTACTGACCCAATGAATCTTGATATATTCACAAGTGCACAGGTTATGAGTCAAGAAGAAGTATAGAACTATCATGTAAGACATAACAGAGAGAGATTAGGACCTATGTGCTCAATGCAATAATGATGCAATACATCCGGGCTCCAGCACTCAAGAATTCACAAAAACAACATGGACAAGTAGTCTCAAATTTCATACAAAGCTGGCACATCACAGAACTGCATCATAATTAATCTTAAGAACTTGATTCGAGTTAAGAAAGAGAAGTCCCATGGCCCATACTATTTTCTGAAGAAACCATTCTAACAAGCAAAATAATTAAAACACTAATGTGGTTCTAACATTATAACAGAATGAGAAATATGTGTTGTAACCCAATCAAATTGGCTGAGTAAACCAATTTCCACATTTGGGTTCCATATCCGATTGTATATGAAAGATCATTTGGGTTCAATATCAGAGTGGTATACAATTGGATATTATGACCATCAACATTAGATGCTCATCACATGCAATTCGGATAGCCCAGCACATTTTGGCTGGGTTAGAGTAGCAACCTTGTTTCCATCCATCTGTCCTCTCACTCTCTTTACTTTACTTGATCATGGTTTTGGTCTAGTGAAAACATGACTTCAGGCTAAAAGGGTTATAAAAAATGATTTATGCATGAATACAGTTCTAGTGTATCACCTTACGACAGAGAGCAAAAAAGTAAGAAAATATTAGAGTACCAAAACAATATTAATTCTAAAAAGAATTAATTAATTTAATTAACATATAATTTTATAATTACAACTGCAACTTCACTTATACATGTTCATATGTTTAGTTTTTATTTCGTCAGTACATTTCAATTTTGTGTTGTTAAAAATGATTCATATTTTAGTCTCCATAATTGTATTTTGTAATTTTATAAATGCTTTACTTATATATATAGTCAAACTGGAATAGATATGCTATTGATTTCCAAAAGCTCTTGTAAATATGATTACTTCAGAATTGTACTTATCTTGATAGATTCTTCCAGAAGAAATGTGACTGGGTACAAAATATTTCATAAGAGTCCACCTGATCTTTTACAATAAATAACTCAACAGATTTTAACAACTTGCAGAAATAGTTTCCCTAAAATGTTGAGCCAGCGATTAAAAAAAGTTCCATAGTCACTTCTTTAAGTAGTAAATCAATGGAAATAATCATTTTTCCTAAGCATATAGAATAGATGTTTGACAATTATGTCAATCGTATCAAAATTCAGATATCGTATATATAATGGATACAAATAAATGAATTAATAGCACAATCAATTCATCCTAGTTCTGATTCTGCTAAAGCATCCAATTTAGCAATTTAGTTCCAGACTCTCTTTAAACTGCATTAGAAATATTGTGTGAAGAAGCTACATACTTCAAATCGGAACTTATACAATAATATAGTGAATAATTAATTTAACATTTCAATAAGTTTTAAGCTTTCTGAAATTTCAAGGCTTTTCCTTTCACCATACAATAAAAAGTGATACACTAAAGTTGTTTTATCACTTAATCAATCATATGAATATTAGATTTTGTTTTCTATTGTTTATAGTCTGAGACCATGTACACCCGCACGCCAAACTAGGATAGTAGAATGCATGAAGACTTGGTTAATTTGGGTTGATCAGTTGTTAGGCTCATCATAATTTTTGTTACAGTTAAATGGATTTAACTTGACATATTTTCAATAACTAACCAACAACAAAATGTATGTTCATCTGAGTGCATACCTTATCTTGACCTTGAGCAGCAGGTCTTGGGATTCTCTCAGCTTCAATATCATACTTCAAAATTCTAAAGCACTCGAGACGTTCCTCTAAGAAAAGTCCGTATGTACGCACCCATGCAGAACAATCCCAAGCTGTAAAAAGAAATATTACACAAATGGGTAAGTACCCAAACATCTTGAATTTTCATTAGAAACAAAATAAAAGAAAAAAGATAGCCAAAGAAAGCAATGGCAGATGCCATAAATAAAAAAACAAGACTAGGGTGTCAAATATAACCAATGGGACTTGAATCATCCTTGAAATTGGCTAACTGGAGAACACGCCCTCTCTGTTGGAAATTTTGAAGTTCTTCCCGGAAAGTAGGATCACCCTCCCTTAGTGTCCTATGGATGACTATCAGTGTCTTTAATGCAACCTGATGAGAAAACAAAATGTTAGGAAACAGTAAAGAGAAATCTACAACACTATCTGCAGGGAACAATGACTGGCAAAAAGAAGTCAAACAGTCTCAAGTGCAATTAATAGCAGCAAATTTTTGTATGCACTTCAAAGAAACCAAACCAGGTTTCTCGGTAGAGTTTTATTCTTTTTCATGGTTTTCATCCATGAAACCAAACCTGGTTTGGCAAAAAAAAAGTCAAACAGTCTCAAGTGCATACAGTCTCCATGAATCATGTATATCCAGCTTGAAAGTAGGGTCGGGGGAGGTTGGGATGAAAACCATGAAAAAGAATAAAACTCTACCGAGACAATATACCTGAAATCTGAAGATAGCATCAAGATGCTAAACCAAATCTATAAGTGAATGCAGACTGGAGAAACTCATGGGCAAAAGCAGATTCTACACTCCATCAATATCTTAAAGCCAGGATCATTCATTGCAGTGGAAATTTTTATGGGATGTGATAAACGTGCAGTGAGATTTACAGACGCCACCGGTGTAACATCCCAGGCCAATCGTACCAGATATTGTCCACTGTCAACTCATGGACTCACGGTTCTAAAGCACGTCTAATAGAAGAGGTATCCAGTCCCTTATAAAGCAACCTTAGTTCCCCTCCCCAATTGATGCCGGATCTTACAATGGAGAATAGAAAATAAAAAGAATAAGAGTGTATTAGTAAATAATAGTAGTAGTTGATAAAAGTTGGTAGCAAAGGGTCGCAATGTTAAATGGCAGTGATGCTTGGGCATAAAAGGGCGGAGCATCAAGTTGCAGAGCATCGAATTTCTTTGTGATTGTACAGACCTTAAGGTCTTGAAGAAGATCACCCGAATCTAGAGAGCTGGCCGGTTAATGAATTCATGGTTCATTGTGTTCTTTGTCGGTTTGGTGTCACAATGCACAATGGTGTGCATCAGGATGATAGATCATGTGATCAACCATGGTTGGAGACTTGGAGTGCTGTTTACCGTGTCATCCACATGATAAATATGTCAAACAATAACAATGACATACAAGTGTAATTAATGGTAACACGGGATAACAACTTGAAAAACTTCCAAAGAATGATCAAGACAAAATCCTACAAAGGAAACCATGTAAATAACCTACAAAACAAAGACAGTATAATCCAATTCTAAAAGTCATAGTTAAGTTGGACAACGAAGTAGCCAAACTAAGAAGGTAAAAAGTGTATTAAAAACAGTTTTTGAATGTCAAGATGAACAGGCGAAAGTGAAACCTCAAATGGTTGAAGAATCGGACTGGTTTTAAAAGAGTTCCCCAAATATGGATTTTCAGAATCGGGGTTGCTTTATATTGATGGGATTCCAACTGGTCATACACAAGCGGTAACACATCATGATGGTAATAGAATCACATTGTCCATCACAATTTCAGTAGTGGCTGCAAAGAGCAAACCCTGCCACGCACCCTTCAATCGAATCTATACCCATAATTCAAGTTGAATAACTGAATACGAAATCAAATGAATAAGATTCCATTACGCCCCAGCCTCATATCCATCGACAACTAAGAAAACATGAAAACAACCAAAAACAGTACCGTCCAATTGCGGGTCTTGGCCAATCTCCTTGCTAGGGCATGTAAACAATATTGCACATCCGCTCGAGGCCGAATAGCAGACGTATACGCCAAAATTTCTGCAAAGAACTCACACATTCAACATTTTCCCCCCAAATTACACAACCACATAAAACCATCAATTAATTGGAAAAGGAAGAGATGAAATCACTCACTTCTGATGTGTCTCTCCTTGGGTGGGCACTCAACATGGTTGGTAGCTTTAACGATCGCAACATCCACATCCTAAATCACACAATCAAAACCCAAACCCTAATTATAGAAGGAGAGTGAGAGGAAGAGAGAGGGATACATGAAATACGTTTCAAGGAGAGGAAAGAGACCTTGAAATCGCTATTGACGTGGGCTAATCCGACGGTGGTTTGATCTTTGAGAGCCCCGTAGGCTTTCCGCCATGTTTGCATAGTACCCATCTCTCTCTGGATTGATCGAACGGTGTTCCGACAGATCGGCAAGTATCTCGATCGGTTATCTCGTCTTTCTTTCTCTCTTGTGTGAAGGAATCCAAAGAAGACAACTGCACAGCAAAATCAGGCTGTTACTATTATCGATTTCTCTCTCTCCCTTTTTATGTGATTGAAGGAAGGCCTTTTTCTTGATTATTAGTTATTTTATATGTATTTCTAGCGAATATGGTCAACTTGGTTGGCTTATGGCTATGGCGGCCACAGTCATCACAATATGTTCCACATCTCTCTCTCTCTCTCTCTCTCTCTCTCTCTCTCTCTTATTATTTTTTTCCTTTTGGAGGCTTCTTATTTATTGTGATCATATGATTCGTTGCATCTTTATTTTCACAATTCTTTTATTTAATATTGTTATTTTTGAGGTTTTCTTTATGGCGTGTATATGTCATGGTGTATATAAAATATATATTTTTTATTTTCTTGTGAAAATTACACATAAAACCATTCAATAAATTTCTTTAAATTACTTGTGTATGCATGAATTTTTGTTAAACTTTTAAATTATGATGATAAAAAAAGATAATTGAATATAAATGAAAGTATATGAGAGTTTAGTTTTCACCTTCTTATTATAATTTTTATTCTTATTAGAACTCAATCCTGAAATAGTCCAACAAAAATATTTATTTCACAACATCTGAATAAAATTATGATACCATTATATAATCTTTGGGATCTACAAATATTGAAGATCACTTTGAATGACGATTTTGGATGCGTAATAACCGACATGTTCTTATTTTAATTCTTTATTTAATCGATTATAATTTTTATCTTGCCCAACATACAAGATTTTAATTTAAAAAATAAAAATAAAAATCTAACACCCATGTGGCCCATATCTAATACCCTCTAATGTTTCAAGAGATAAATATTGCACCTCTAGAATACTTTAATATTAGAAATTATGGTTTTATCTATCGAACTTGTAAATACATGATATTCAAGTTCGCCATGATATACAAAAATTTACCAGTAAAATTTTTATCTGATACCCATCAAATTTTTGTCCCATTGAAGCTTCAATAGATATATCTTGTATTCTTTAATAATGATTTTAACTTAAATAAATTTATCACTTAATTTCGAAAAATAAACATAAGGGTTGACAAATAAATCAAAAAGTAACACATGATATATTCAAATACATAATCATTTTAGAAAAGAGGTTGACGAGTCAATTCAAATAAGTTGTTATGAGTTCATTAAGTTGACCCATCAAATCTAATCTCAACATTTGCTTCTTTTTCTTTTCAAATTTCTTGAAACAAACACATAAAACTTTACCTGCTTAATAAAAATAAAACAAATAATCCTTAAAGTATATATGGAGGTTCAAACGAAAACACCTCTATTTTACAAAAACATTCTTATCAGATGTGATAGAAAGAAAAGTATATGGTTATCATATCACATGATGAGGTCATCAAGAAATGAGGAGATGAATGGTAGCTTTATGACCCCAAAAGCCACAAGAAACGATACCATCCACAATGGAAGGATCCATAAGAACACCACCTTCAAAATATTCTTCCCTGAAAATCATCAATTACTCCATTAACTACATCCATCCCAGTTTATTAATAAAAATAAAAAATAAATTAAATATCATGAGAAAATAAATATTTAAAAAATCTATTTGAACATGTATATATGAACCGACCTAGGTTACAATAAATAAAACTTGTTTTTGTTATTAGTTAATTCACGTATCAACCTTTCATTTTATTTACGATATTTAGATTTGAAAAATATAGAAAACATGGAAAAATGATGAATTACCAGTAGAGCGAGATGGGGCTTCAGTTTGATCAATAATCCATTCACCAGTCTCTCGAAGCTTCTTCTCCACATCTCCTTCCTTTCTCCCTATTGAATTTGACAAAATCGAATCAAACAGAGTCTTCTCCTGCTCAGGTTCCCTGTTTGTTCCATTTCAAATCTCTTTCCAATTAAGCAACTAGTAATCAAGTTTCAAAACCCTAAAACTTCATACACAATAAATTACTCGATTAGATGAACCATAATCTTGCCTGTTGATGTCACGGTCTCTGAAAATACCGGCACCAATCGCTCGTTCTATTTCTGCAACTGAGGGTTTCTTCTCCTTTTGTTGTTTTCCCGCCGGCGGTTGTAGTGGGATACCGGTTTTGATCCTGCGAACTTGGGGATTAGTATCAGGATTACTTCTATCTGAAAGAGATGAGAGAATGGGTGCTCTGTTAATGCAGATGCAACTTAAACCTATCATCTCGCTTTCTCTTTTGCTCTCCAGGAACCAGATGAACAAGCATAGCATAACTGTCATTGGAAACCAGAAGTCTATCTATCTTCAGAAAAATACGCCCAAGTCCAACTCTTTACATTAATGACCAATTAGTCCTTCTATTTTTACTTCATTTCTCCTTGACAACGGACTTGTTTACGTCAGAATCATATCAAATTTGATGGACACAAACAAATTGTTGGTTAATTGGAGAAGATAAACCGCCAAATTTGGGTTTTTACAGGTTAGATTAGAGATCTCTAAATGGGCATCCATAAAGAATTTTCATCCGAAAACGCATTCTGATTGTTATTTTAAATTTCATTTAAATATGTAAACTTGATAACGGTCTTATCTACAAAAAATGGGAAGACATCAACAATCCAACATTTTCTTACAATTATCAAGCAGAAAACACCTTGAATCTCAGCTGTTTCAAGTAGGCAGCGTCCTGAGCAGATGAAGGGCGCGAACCGACTGCGGCCTCTCGGAAAGAACGATCCTTCTCAGTGTTGGCACCACTCCTGCCGCTATGATGGCAGGGTGGTTCTCGGGGTCCATGCTTAGATTATAAAGTATAGCCAAACCGGCTTCCACCACCTTATCGTTTCCTTCTTCGATCAGCTTCACCAATGGAAAAATCCCTCCTTCACCGGCCACCACCCGACTAGAATCCACAACCCCTTCAGAAATTACCCTGTTGAGTTCTAAAACAGCAACTTCCTGGGCTTCAGGAGAGTAAGAATCTTTCATTTGCTCAACAAGTCTTGGGATCGTTTCGTATAGCATGACCTCGGTGTTGATTGGATTTTCTGATCCGAGGTTTGCAGGGCCCCAGAGAGAGCCGAGTTTGACAAGGCACGCGGCTACCCAATCTTTGTTTTGAAGAGGAATTCTGGAGGTGAGAATGTTACGGAGGGAATCCGTGAGTCTAGACGAGTTTACAACTTTTCGGAACTGGTCAGAGTCAAGCAGCCGGGTGAGTAGCCGAGATGCTGCAGATACAGCAAGGCCAGCTTCTTCAATTTCTAGGGTGTGTAGTTCTAATTCCTGAAAGTCGCTCTCAGTTTCCATGTCTTCTTTGCCTGAAAAAAGTCGGAATAAGTGTCCACTTCCAAAAGCAAGTGCCTACTTTCAAATTCTACACTAAATTACGAGATAAAGAAATTCATTACTCCCTAAGTCCCTATTATTAAAGGTAAAAATGGCATTGCCATTTAGTTAATGAAAAGTATAATGATTACATAATTCTAAAACTGTATGCCTTTTTCATTGTAACATTTTTTTGGGATGGAGGGAATAGAAAACATTGCAGAAAACAGTAAAATATATAGGCGTGCATATCCTTGAATTTAAAGAAAAATATTTTTTTCCTGTAATCGTGGATATTCGGGCCAACGTGGGCCCACCTCGACTAATCCCACGGGCCCTAAAGCATACTAAAATATTATGTATGCTGCATTACGATATTAACAAACGAAAACCAGAAGACATACCATTGAAGAACTTCTGTCGGAAAAGAGAGTCTAAAGCAGATTCAATATCAAGTGAGATGATTTTCTCTCTACAAGCCTCAGATGCTGTCAAGAACTCAAGGATGGTAGCTGCTTTCGTTTGCAAAACCGGAGAAGAAGAAGTCAAGATTTCAACTAGGCGAGAAAGGAACGTGGGATCGGAAAGGTCCCCCTCTTGAAAAGTTTGCAAACTGTCATATTTTAATACAAAGATTTATCAAATATAATCCCACTTCTTCAAATAAGATGCTAATGACATTTTGACTCTTGAAAACAGACCAACCTGGATGTCAAATTTGGAGTGGAAGTTCTTGCTTCATTCCATCCTTTCTTAGATCCATTAACTGGTCCATCATAAAACTGGTAGAAACCAATAAATAAGCTAAAGTTAAGAAACTAATGAACATTAAGTGGGGAATTTCCGCCATTTTTATTGATCACGATATGCTGCTGACCTTTGATTTCATTTCTTTGCTAGGATCTAAAATCCGAGCAAGAATATTCAGGATCTGCATTATCTCAAAAGCACACGTCTCATTGTATCATCCGACCAGCACCAAGAAGAATGCATATACATGTAAAAAGAACAATAGTTTCTATACCATATAAGTTGAATTCCCAAAGGCATCCGAATCTTTCAGCGATCTTATCAAAGGATTCAAGACACCCTCGGCTTCAAGTCTCTGGCAAACATCATTGCTGCATTGATACCAGATAAAGTTAACACATACAAAATCAAGCATGATAAGAGTAACATTTAAGGCCTGTTTATTAGCAGCTTAATGAGCTTAATGGGACTCGCAGCTTATTCGGTCAGCTATACATGACTCTTTGGTAGTGGCTTACTGATATAGAAAGTGGCTTATTCGTAAGCTTCTAGGAGAGAGCTTAATGCAAAAAAGCAAGTTTTTTTTCCATATATGAAAAAACTCACCGAAAAAAACCTTCGCAATCTATACGGACAGATTAATCCACACAAATAGCTTATCCATACAAGATTTAGTGGAAAACCAACCAAACAGACCCTTACTTATAGACCTGTGGCTGCTCCACTTTCAAATGCAGTACTCCATTCCCGAAGAAAAGAGGTAGCCAAACTCAAACATAACACTCTTGAAATTCCGAAGTGCACAATTTGACACATTTTGCTTAGAAATTGTAACCAATATTTTATGTGTGTAGTACTTGTTACAAAGTTTTAATGAAGTCATTATCATTTTCTGAATATATAAAGCTCATATCAGTTCTTAAGGTTGAAAATTAGCGTATAAGACCTTGAAAATCAAACTATAGCTGTCACTTTTAAGGAACAGAAAGTTTAAGCAGTAAGAAAGAGGTTCCACCTGACTGAAAGCCTCTCTAAAGCACGAATTGCTGCTAATCTGACAGACTCACTGTGATGATCGATAAGCCGTACTAGATTCTTTACAGCACCTGCTTCCTTAAATGAGGTTCTCATATGCTCACTAATAGATGAATCAGCAATAGACTCTGCAGCTTTTGCAATAGCTGATTCATCTTCTAATTCAAGAATCAAAACCAAACGAGCAACACCATCAACCCAAGGTAAAATTGTAAATCTTTGATCCGAAGTTGGGGATCCAGTTTTATTACTCTCATCTTCTGTTTCTATAGCTCCAATACGAGCAAGAAACTGTTGCTGTGTCCGGCCAACTATTGCATTCTTCTTTGCTTCCTCTAATTTCGTATTCTTATCATCTTCGACATGTAATCCGAGAAGTAATTCTGATGCACCGTACCTTGATGGACCCTTCAAATTTTGTTTCACATTTAGCTCTGACCCATCAGGTAAAGAAGGCCATGAATGCAACGATGGTCGAAATGACTTGTAGGCTGCTGCACCAACTAAAGGAACTACAACCATGCCTTCCTCTATCAAAAGAATCTTGTAATAGTCATCCTTTGCGAGCTCCAACAATGTACTTTGTGCTTCTTTTCTAATGATCTTAGATCCTTCAAAGTCCGTCCTCAGAAATTTTGCCTATATTAGATATAGTCGTCAAAATCCATGTGGGAATGATATGTTGCAAAATTAAATTAAAAGAACCCAATGTGAATTTCTTCAAGGAGATGATTTTGATGTACTCTTATACACAAATTAGCAGAATGCTTAAGATTGCATATGATTCTCACTAGTAAAATTGATGAATACAAAAAGGTAAACCAGCACTCGAGAGGCTGGGCTCTCCCAAGGCTCACGCCAATTTAATCACCAAAACAGAATGCCCCTCCCCTCCTCACTCACACCTATTTAAAGACTCTTAAAGGCTACTTTTCCCATTTTACCCCTTGACTTCTTCTAACAAACATAACTATTAGCAACTACTAGGGTATAACAGATTTCCCAAGTCAAAGATTAACTAGAAGTAAAAGATGTTTGTAAGTGAGAAGTATAAATAGTCTCACCAGTGGTGGGATAACACCTGCTTCAACCAAAATTTTGTGATTAGTAAGGCTCAATGCTAAATTAGCTAAAACCCCGCCAGCTGCCTCGGTAACCCTCATGTCTTCATCATCCAAGAACTTAATAAGTAAAGGCAGGAGATCAGAGTTCGCAATCTGGAGTCGAAGCTTCTCATCAACGGACAAGTTTGACAATAAACATAGACTTTGCTCTTTTACCTGCCAATGTCAAGGTAAGGTTATCCAACTTGAATCAATATGCAGAAAAACATAACGAAATCTGTTTCATACCTCAGAAGACAGTGAAGATCGTCTCAGAAGGCTAGAGATCTCTTGTATGGCCCCACTTTCTGCTACCAAGTCTCTGTAGATGTTAACTGAGGATATCATTCTCAAAAGGCCTGCAGCTGCTTCACATGCAACACATGACTCTGAGTTTAGAAGATTTACGGTGAGGAAAACAGAACCACGGGATTTCATGATTGCGTCAATACACTGCTTTCCACCCAAAGAGTACTTCCATAATGCATCAACTGCTTGCTCTCTATCTAAGGGATCGTTGTCTAACCCTAGCATCCGAATAAACAAGCCTACATAGCCATCACCAGAGATAGGTGAGCTGCTCGTCTCAAAATCCTGTCAATTGAAGTTACATACCGTTTCAATAATATGAAGAACACACATAAACACATTAATCAAGCTCAAAGCTATTTCATTAGAAATTTGGAAGCTAGCAAAGGGCAAAATGTTTCAAATCATAATAGCTTAATAATCAAGCATGTAGTCTACTAGGCTCATGCGTCGGCCTCAGTCCGGTTTAAGTTAAATTTAGTAATAAGGAAACAATTTATTCCCTATATATAAGAAATTGACCAAATTATTAGTAGGGCAGAGAAAATTGTTTAGCAAGATTATTATCCGTTTTTAGGTTTTTTTTTAAGAGAGACAGCCAATCATATTGTTTTCTTGGGACAACCCATCAACAGTGATGTGAAACATGTGTGAGTCCCTCATAGGTGTGAAGTGTGACTGGCAGCTATCAATAACTTCTCAGTTGTTTGAATGTTATTTGTGTCCGTCAGCTGCTTTGTGCTTGGATGGTATGACAGCTTTAGGTTTGTAGATAGTCTTCGCATTTGACCCCTGAATTGTGGATAAGCTAGAATTTGATATTGATTGAGCTCTGTTTAGGTGTTTGTGGTCTGCCTTAAGACACAGGGTTTCTGGTATAAACTGGTGTCAAATGCTTGTAATTGAATTGATACGAAAGGGAAATCACTCCAATGGCATTCGAGAGGCCATGGTCTCTCCCAGAGCAAAGCTCGTATTACAATTGAATTGGAAAAACTGAATACCCAAAACAGGAAGCACCCCACCAACAAAAAGGCTCCCGCACCCTACACAAAAGGAAAACCCGAAAATACCCCTAAGGCATTATTCAAAACAGAAAGTAAGGAACCACACTAATTTCCCCTCCTCCTATATGTGAACCGAACTAGGTGTACACCAGTTTCTTGAGTATTTCATGGAAATCTTTGTTTGGTTTTACAGTTCACACAAGAAGCAAATCATGAGGTTTAAGTTGTACTATGGGAATGGTATTGGTATTAAGTTCAGTTCCTAGTTTAAGCCTATAAATTCTAATGTGTCGAGATATCGAGTGTATGTGAATGTAAGAACCAAATTCTTTTACAGGGATACAATGAAACAACCAACCCTATTGATATTCGGAAATTATGTACTAGCTTTTTGTTTATTCCTTAATTTAGTTGGATAAGATTAAGATTTGAAAGTGAGAAGAGTTGTATGACACTTTTGTTTAAATTTGTATGAATAAGTTTCAGGTTTGACAGACTCATACAATATTGGCAAAAATTCTATAGTTGTCAGTTCTGTCTGAACCTTGTATTGACTAGAAAACTCTTATTCCTATATGACTGCTGAATAAGAACATCCAGAGTCTATCTGTATATGTGAGGCATGAAATAAATTTAAAACCAAGTCTGTTTGAGATGAGTATGAGTGTCGCAACTCGCAATCATTTAAATCATACAAAGTTGAAATTTGATATGTTCTTCTTGATACTTAAATCAAAGAAAAGCTTATTTGCTTATATTATAATTTCATGTTTTGACCTTTTCATTCCAGCCAACAAAAAAGCATGGACTACTTTTTCAAGAACTTGTTTGTTGGTTTGATAAGATAAGGAATGGAAGAAAGGTTCTCCTTATAGTAGACAATTCCCACATACAAAAAAAAGTCACAATTGTACCTAGGTCGAAATGATTTGCCTCAAATTGCCTAAGATACAAGTTTAGACTAGTTCCCTCAATAGGTGTGACAAGGACATATTCCATGATTGCTCTATTCTCTATAAGATAATCCTTCTTTCCTAAAACTCGACGTAAATTGCCCTTAGGTCCAATCATTCTGATTTTTTATCGCGTTCGGAATCACCTTGAGAGTCTTGAGGAGCTTATATCTGTTAAGGCTTTCCAACGTATACCTCTGAAAGGGCTAAATGTTACGGTCTCCAGACGAACCCTCTGAAAGGGCTAAATGTTTTCCAGACGAACAGGATTATTATTGGTTTTGTGAGCATGATTTTCTTATCAAAAGGGGCATATTATTGGTACTTTGATACCTTTAAATGTCTGGATCCATGTGACTAATAACATATAGTGTGGCCATGGTCACCTACTAGTTGGAACCTTGCAATATCAAGATAATGTAGTTGTGTTGATTAAAGAATTGACAGACACTTTGGTGCTTTGGATTATTAAACTTTCAAACTCTACTTTGAATAATTCACATGAATCTAAGGCACTAATACTATAGAAATGCAAAGTCTTGACAATTTTCTAAAAATATCACTAGATCCAAATCGATTGTCAAGCACATACTTTTTTCGGACCAATCACTCATTGCCTTGGCATTAGAGTTTCAAATGCATCATTAATGGATTACCCTAATCACAAGTTCTAATTTTTTTAGTTATTTTTTAGACTTATATTTCTAGTTTTGTAGATGAGACTCTCATTGTTTCCAAATGGGTAGACAATAAGGGTTTAGGACTCTTTTTTGGATATCCAAATCTACTGAGAATTCAATCAAAGACTTTGGTCATGATTATAAGTGAGTGGACTTGCAATAAACTAATAACTTCCTGTACTGTTTTTTTAGCATCTGGGCTTGGGGTGGTACAGTTCCTGCCTATAATTCTGTTCACTTAATACAATATCAAACTATGGCACTTGCAACACAAGAAAAGCACTCAGTGCGTGTAAAACAGCTACGCTCTTATATAGCGTCTAGAGAAACAATGAAAGTGACAATTTCACAAACACGTTGTGTGCAATATTTCACCAAGAAAGGAACCAACTTTATTTTCAAACTGTATTATTCAAGCATTCTGGACAACAGAAATACAACAACAAAAATCCCAGATTAACCTGAAGCAAAAACTTACAGAACTACCATCAGAAACTTTTTGTGGGGTAGCGTCATCAAAAGTGCCACCGCTGTCACTACTGCTACCGACCCTTGTGACGAGTGGACGTGCCGAGCATAATTTGAGGTTTAACGAATGTGGATTTTCAATTCTTCTTCTTCTTGAGGTCTTAAATATCATCGAATAAGATGTTCCAACATGCGAGTGAATTAAAAACGATTGATGGGGGTGTTGAGAAATTGAGAAACTAAATTTGATTTGGGGAAGATTGGTTACATACATCGTGACTTACAGTTCCAGGGAGCTCCAACACAAGATTATCAAGGGTTTTTGGATTTCATGGCATTTTGTGGGTTTATGATTTATTTATATGGCAACGGGAGTTGAAGCTCAAGGATAATGGATAGTCCGAAATGCTTAGATTGTAACCGGTTGGTTTCAGTTTGGACTTTAATGGTTAAAATGTCTGAACGTATGTTTGAATTAAGGGAGAATAAGGCCCTGTTTGTTTTTCTAAAAAATCACTTAATTGCCTCTTAAGTCTGACCGATTCAGACCTAGAGGAATTAAGTGCGTTTGTTTTTTTTATAAATTAAGTGCTGAAAATGTCTCATTTTGTCTGAATCGGTTAGATGTAAATTTAGCTCTGAAAACCTCTTAATTTGATTTCTCCTTCTCGGCTGCTGCTTCCTTCCCTCTTCTGCTGCTTCCTTCCCTCTTCTGCTGCTTCCAATCGACAGCCCCCTGCTGCTCGATTTCTTCCTCCCGGCTGCTTGATGACAGCCCCTTTTGCTGTCCACTTTCGATGTTCCCTCTCGCCTCTATCGACAGTCCTCGTCCTCGGTTTTTCTCTCAAAYGACAGCCGGCTGCTTGATTTCTCTCGCGACCGCCCTCTCCTTCTTTTCTCCTTCCACGCGACCAGCCTCTCCCTCTTCGACAGCTTGCTGCTGTCGAACTCTCGAACTCTCGCGAACTCTCGAACTCTCAAACTCTCGCGACCGCCCTCTCCGATCTGCTGCTCCTTCTCCCGAACTCTCGCTGCACACGTCTCTTTCTCTCTCTCGCTGCCGATTTCAGGACTGGGCAGCAACTTGGGCTGGTTTTTCCTCCTCCTCATTGCTGCTGGTCTGGGCTTACAGCAGCCTTGGGCTGCTTTTGGGCTTAGAGATGATGAGCTAAAKATTGTTATTACACAATTACATATCACGTTTATATTTGTCAAGTATAGTAGAAGAGATCATAGTTCCTAAAAACAAACAGATTTCAGATTTCAGACGTAAAAACAAACAGTCTGACTGATTCAGATTTCAGACTTCAGCACTACCTCTTAAAATTCAGAAGTGAATTCAGACTTCAGACTTCAGCACCTCTTAAAAAACAAACGCCACCTAAAAATCTCACGAAGGTTCAAATGCAGCAATCTAAACTATTCGTAAAACGGATGATCGATCCGGAATTAATGTACTCATATAACGAATTGAATATTTATATTAATAATTAAAAAAGATAATAGATAAAGATTGATTGGTGTCATCTACTAATGTTTTCTATTCTATAAATAAATTATTATAATAATTAAAATTGGTTATCTACGTCTCTTTAACCCATAAAGGTAATTACAGATAAACATAATCAAATTTTGGATAAATATCTCATTTTAAATATAAAAAATCTAAAATATATCTAGGATAACCATTGAATTCAAAATACTAAATAACTTTTCAAAATTTTATGATACCTTCAAATTTATATTTTATTAAAAAAAACATTATCATTTTTCGAAACCACATAAAATCGTATTATAATATTGACGGAGACAGAATAAAATAAACACTAAAATCGAGATATATCTCGCTGCATTGCGTGAATACCCTTCTAGTATATTTCTAAAAGAAATGTAGAATTTTAATCATTTAAAATGTGAAAATTTAATGGTTTTTTCATTCAAAAAATAATAATTTAGAAACTTAATCATTTAAATGAGAAAGTTTAATGATTTTTTTCATTCAAAAAAATAATTTACGAACCAAACCATTCAAAATGAGAAAATTTCTTGAGTTTTTTTAGACTTTTTTCATTTAATTATAGATGTATAAAAAAAACTCATAGCCCGGTCCAGACCTGGCTCAAAAAAAGCTCCTGTCTAGTGAGTCTAAAGCCCAGTCGGTCATCTCGAAATATTGGCAGTAGACCTAAGGCTTGACTCAGCGTTAAAAAAGTCCAATTAAGCTAGAAAAAGCCTGATCGAGACCTTTATTAACCACAAAGCTTGGGTATTTTTTATTGCTCGTTGAAAATGGGCTTCTAAGGTTCGAACATTGTGCATTTCTAGATTCAGTTACGAGTTTTTATTTAATGGCATTTTTCAGTAGTTCGAACTTAAATCAACAATTAATAACAGCAAGTTTAAAATTTGAGTGATCAACTACCCAAAAAAGTTAGTTAGCATTAGCACCTTTTTTTAGAACGCTTCACCGATGCAAATGATGTTGGTTGCACTCCACTTTGAGTGTGATAAGAAATCTTAAACTTCCATGGTTGTTTGCATTATAAAACCTATTTTTTATGAGATGGCTGGAAAAATAAATCTAATAATTTAATCAAAATGATTATGTATTTACAAAATATTGTATGGATTAAACCTATTTCATTCTATTCAAGACGTGTTATGTTTTTGGAGGATGAAATGAATATAAATAGTTTTAAAAATATTTTATTCTTGAAAAAGAAATTATTTTTTCATTTATTTCATAATTTTTATGAACATTTTATGGTTTAAAGACTGATTGATTAATATTCACTAGAAGGATACTCGTAAAATTTAGTGAGATATATCTTGTTTTAATTTTTTTTCTTCAGTCAATGTTATAATACAGTTTATGTGGTTTTGATAAAGCGACAATGTTTTTATTTTTGAATAAATATAAATATCAAAAAGAAATTGAAAAAAATATTGATATTTGTACCAAACTAACTATTTAATTTTTTTTTCCTTTTTTGTGTATTTCTTTAATTCATTTTTTTTTTATTTTTGGTTTAATATAATTTTTTATAAATATGATAATTATGTTAAAACTCAATGATTATCTTAATTATATTTTATATTTAAAATGAGATGTTTATCTTGTATTTGATTATGTTTATCTACAGTTAATTACACGAATTTAAAAATGAAGTTTTAATAAGTTGTACTTACGTAAAATTACTTGTAATCTTGAATTTTAAGTAATATGCATTAATAAACAGTACTTCATACATAAAAATGGTTTTTTAAGAGTTTTTTTATCAAATATTTATAAAATGGCTTTCTTGAATTTTAAGGATATTTGCACAATGTAGTGAGATATATTTTGTTTTAATTTTTTTTTGTTCTGTCGATGTTATAATACAGTTTATGTAGTTTTGATAAAGCGATAATGTTTTTATTTTTGAATAAATATAAATATGAAAATATCAAAAAAATAGAAAAAAAATATTGATATCAGTACGAAACTAACTATTTAATTTTTTTCCTTTTTTATGTATTAATTAATTAATTTTTTTTTTATTTTTGGCTTAATATAATCTTTTTATAAAGATGATAATTATGTTAGAATTCAATGATTATTCTAATTATATTTTAGATTTTTTATATTTAAAATGAGATATTTGTCTGCAGTTAATTAGACGAATTAAAAAATGGAGTTTTAATAAGTTGTACTTACATAAAATTACTTGTAATCTTGAATTTTAATTAATATGCATCAATAAGCAATACTTTATGCATAAAAGAATGGTTTTTAAGAGTTTTTGTCAAATATTTTATAATATAGTATAGATACAAATATAATTATGGCATGGTTCCAAATAATTGTACAGAAAGTTTTGTATTTTAAAAAAAGTTACGCAAGTTAATCTGAACATCTATGATTAGCAGAAGAAAAAAAAAATTATCTCTTCAACAACATTTTTATTTTCATTATTACAATTGCATTTGAAAAAGAAAACTAGAAATGTTGTATCATGTAATATTTTGTAAACATTTTTTATAGATTATAAACTATGTTGATATTTTTATAATTTATTTAACTGGTTTAAAAATTTATTGTAACATTTTAATTTTAATGACTTAACGAAATACTATTTTGTTTTATTTTATTTTTTTAAACAATTTAAAGAAAATGAAATCATCATCCACAACCGAAATTGGGTTGGCAGAATTGAGTGGCTACGCTACGTTGTGATTTGTGAACCTTGTCACTTGCCCATTTGTATTTTTTCTAATAAATCTATTATTTTCTTTAGTTTTAATTCGGAAAAAGTATGAAATAAATTAAAATAATAACATATCTCATAATTTTATTGGTTCAAATTGTTGTTAATCCTTTATTTTTTATGTTCCATATTTGAGAGAGGGGTTTTTTTTATCAATTAAAATTTAAAAATATATAAGTTTCAACTATATAAGCAAACTTGGTTGATCCAAAATGTAAATTATAATATATATTTTTTAAAATAATACGTATACGTAATTTTAGTGATTATTAATCTAGACAATAATTGTTGATGATAATTTTGCATTTATAGTTTTAAAATATTAAAGGGAGAAAAGGATAACAAGGGAGTACATATTCATATAAACACACATATGCTCACAAACAAAAATGAGCTTCAACATCCCAAAGGCTTTGCCTTCTCTTCCTCAATGCAAATTCCACCCTCTCTCTACTCCATTCAATTCAAAACAATCCCATGTCTACAAGCCACACAAGTCCTTTGTAAGTCCACTTATCATTGGTATCTCAATCATGCAAACATGTATTACAAAATTATATTGAAATTAACTTTTGGTTATACAGAAACTCGTAATTGTCAATCAAAAGAAGAGGGACCATGTTTTTGCTTTGAGCAAACCCAATCTGATAATACAAGTCGGAGCACTTTTGACTACTGTAAGTTATCGTTTTCACTTTCTTGAACTGAAAACATTGTGTTTGATTTGATTGAGATGAGATGAGAAGAACAGGTTGTTAGTGAACCGGCTTTTGCGGTGACTGGAGTAAACAATGAAGAGGATATTGTGTGGGTGTTGATTCAATTAGCCATATTTGCCTTCTTCTATCTTCTAGTGTCACCAGTAAGTGAGAAGCTTGGTTTTAATCATTTTTTGTGATGAGTTTTTTAGGATGAGTGGTTTGAGGAGTTGGTATGAATTTGCAGCCATTCATTATGAACTGGCTGAGGATAAGATGGTACAAAAGAAATCTTTTGGAGATGTATGTGCAGTTTATGATTGTATTCATGTTCTTCCCAGGGTTAGTTTCTAATTCTCCCTTTCAATAATTACACTTGATTGTAGGAATCAATCAGTAGGATTATAGTATTTAATTTGGTACACGGTTTAAGAAAATCTACAATCAACTCAAGTATTTACACTGAAAACAAATGAAATCATTTGTGAATCAAAATAGATGCTATTAGTTTGTTACAACGATTATGAACAGATATTTAATTTAATTTGAAATATTTTGAAAAAAGTAAATCACAATGTTTTCCTTTTTTTTAAGCATGTTCAGCCATTTTATATCATCATTTAGTTCATTAACAAGTTTTTACCAAACATCAGTATCTATCAGCCAATTTGTTACTCAACAACTAGTTTTTCAACTAACAACTAATCCAATTTGTTACTCAACAACTAGTTTTTCAACTAACAACTAATCACAAGCCACACTTGTTTGAGTTGGTGCAGTATATTGCTGTGGGCTCCATTTTTGAACTTCAGGAAGTTCCCAAGAGATCCAGACATGAAGTACCCTTGGTCTGTCCCTGAAGATCCTTCCAAAATTCGCAACTCTTACCGAAAGTTCCCTTGGGCTACTCTTGATGATTATGAAGTTTAAAAGAATACAAACTTCTTCTGTCCTTCCTTCTTATGTATCATAACGACATATAAATTTACTATTTTTTTCTGTAAAAATGTCACACAACCATGACCTATTGAGCTACTTAAAAGGACTTGATGGTGAATGTCAAAGAAACAATGATGGGAGTAAAGGGTTATGATCCTATGTTAAGGACATAAAATACATCTCATTCAGGATCAAACACAACATCAAACTTTTGGAGAATTCAAGGTATTAAAGCTGAACAACTTGAAACTACAAAGATAAACCTGAAAGGGAACATCCGCCTCAACCCAAAAGGAAGAAAAAAAAACAGATTCGAAAATGAACAGAAATGAAAAGAAAGAAACAAAATCGCTTAAAAACCGGCTTGAACTGCATCTACTTTTAGTTGGAACATCGTTCTAGAAGAGGGGGGAAACCTTAAATAGAAATACCTCATTCTCTCTTTCCTTTTACCAAGGGCAAATTTGACCTTGTGTATGTAGGTCAACTAGCCGCATGTTAGAGATTCGAACCACTGTTTTCTTAAGCTGATTGCTGGAGGTTGAACATTTCGGTTAACTTGGTCAAGTCCAAGGACTCCAAGGCGGTTGGAGGGATGAAAGCGATCCCCATACCAATGGCAATGATAACCAGGGCCATACCTTTGACGCATCCCCACCCACGTGATAGTCTTCCCAGTAACACCTTACAGTACTTGTCTGCTTCCCTGTACAGCGCTTGCTGACCAACAGATTTCTCTCCCTCTGTCAAAGCATTCTCATTCTGTAGATACGAATTGAAACATCACAAAATAAGCGCTCTTTGTTTAAATCGGCACTAACTTAGGTAATCCACACCCTAATGCTTTGCATCTTTGGTGTCACAAGCTTATTATATTACAGATATTGTAAGATTAAAATATTATTCTTGCATTAAGATAAGAGCATTTTTTAACTCAAGCCACATGCATCGATTAATTATCAAACTCATAAAAGCAGAGGGTTTGAAACCCCAAAATCGAAAGATGACTCTTTTTGAGGAGGGAGCATAATGGTAACAATATGAGAAAATGGAAGAGATGTGATACCATGCTCTTAAAGCTCCTGAGAGTTCCAGCCAGAGCTTCAAGAGAAGACTGTTTTACAGATAACTCCTTCCACTGTTCGGCAAGCCTTCTCAGAATCACAACGCTTGCTTCTAGATTATCCGTGTAGACCTTCTCCTGTACAAAGTATATTTGGTAAATTCATATATGCAAATTCATCATTTCGTATAAGCAAAATGAAATCAAAGAAAGAATTATAATGCTATCACATAAAAATAAATTTGATGAACAGTAGAACTCACCCATTGCTTATAAGAATCAGGATTTTGTGTTAAGCACCAGATAAAAATACCAGCTGCCTCATAGGATAGCTCAGGGGTTCCTACCAAAGAAGCAACATCAAGGAAATTGAGTCTTCCAATAATTTCAAGTTGAAGTTTCTTTTTAATTTTGAAAAGCGTACCTTCTCCTGAAGCTTTCAAAGAAACGGTCATGATTTGTTGAGAAACTTGTTTCATGGCTTTACTTCCAGGGGAACCAGCAAGAGCCACCTCCTTGAGTGTAGGATATACAGCTTCAAACCTTTCAGTTGCCTGCATCATAACATAATCAGACAATTAAGTATACCAGTATCTTAAAGAAATGGAGTAACAAGTGTCCCTACTAAATTCCTACCTTAACTCGAGCTGAAGATGAAGGGAAGGTTACTCTCAATAGCAGGTCAAGTGCTGATGGTGGCATTAAACGCTCTCCCTTCCGCACAGCGCCATTTACTAAAATAGTGCGAGCCTTTGGGGCAGATAGAATTCTAAGATGATAATTAAAAAAAAAGATTTAGAAGTTTGTAAAGCTGAGAGTGAACCAACAAAGAGTGAAGAAAAAGGTGGACTTAAACCTTTCCACTAACTGCAAAATTAGATCCCTGGTCTGAGGATTAGAGCCTGATTTACCCCCAACTATGGGTAATACTAAATGGGACCAACAGTACAAACCAACAGAGAGATCTCCATGCGACGCCTACATAATATAGATTCAGTGTTAGCACATAACGCTTCTATATGGAAGCAAAGAAGGCATCATGTTCGACAACATTATTGTGTTATTGAGTTATGGACTCACCTGTGCTACGATCCACACAATAATTGGAAGCTTATCTTGTCCCTGATACTTGGAAGTTTCCCTTAGAGTTGGCAATGCACTAATCAACACATCAGGTTTCCTTCGCAACACCATTGCTAATGCTACAAAAATACCAACCTGCCAAGAATTTTGTAGGAATGAAAAATCAGCTAATGAATATGCACATAGAGATTCAGTTCAGTTACATTCAAGCATGAATTTTAAAGTAGGATTTAGGCACCAAGGACAAGTAGAAAAATTGCAAAAATAAAGTATACTTAATACAAAAACATCAAAGTAGAAATAGAAAGGAAAAAAGAATATAATAGTATCCACATAAAGTACAATAAACCTTAATGGCTGACAGGCTTAATTACTAAGGAAAGTTAGTCTTTCATTTTGAGACAGTAGCCTTGTGGCTGGAATACTATATCTAACGTCTGGGGATCCTTAAAACATAAGAAACTACTCCCATCGGAAAGCTTGCCGATCAAAAGACTCGAAAAAAGAAAAAAAAAATAACATGCAATCAACAGACTGAATTACAATGGCACTTTTTTTCTAGTTCTAAATTAATGAGGTAATAAGGTTAAAGAGTTCCTTGTATCTAGAACATAATAGAACTGCTATTAAGAAAAATACATCTCTACATGTAGTTCCTAAAGATGTCCATAAAAAGTGTTTGCATAGTTTTATGTAGTGGTAAATTGTGTATTTTTAATAATTAGACAAACTCATTTCAATTCCAGAGTTGAAATGTAGGCTTGTTTGAAACTAAAAAGTTAACTCACAACTCCACGTCTAATACGAAATGGGTTTTGTATCATATGTTATCATTGGTCATGCAGGTATTTAGTGTAAGATTGTACTCTATGAGTTCATGGGTTGGTGGTTGTACGTGACAAAAACCCTAGTATGTTTTCTGAGATTTGTTGTACCTACAAGTAACCAGTAGATGTAAAAAAAGAAGATTTTTAAAAACTTACAGCACTGTGCAAGTTGTCTTGGTTCAATGGTCCTGAATTCCAAAACACATCAAAAACTTGTCTTTTTAGGCATTAGATGTTTAAGCAGTTGCCCAAGAGGGAAGGACACAAAAATTTGATATTGCTTATTTCTTTGAGACCTTGTGGATTTGTATGATGCTCATGCAAGCTTCAATCTATCTAGGAATAGGCTTATGATAGACAATGGGAACACAAACAAGTTTGTTTACATGACCACAGTGCTGATCATAGAAAGTCCTACAGCATGAAGCCAAAACTACCCTTACATGTTCCTAGTTACTGTGTATCAATACCTTCCTACATGCTTTTCGTATTCAGAATAGACAATTTGTCATCCTCTGTTTTCTACCATTTGATATATGAAAAATTAACATATAAAAAGGATACTTTATCGAGAAGAAAATGTTGGGAGATCCCACCATCGTACCTGAGATTTCGAGGATATCTTTTGGGTACCTTTCTTTGATCCCTTTGCATTGCCCTGTTGGCTTGCAAAGTCAGCGAGTATGCTGTCTAAGGACCATAGAACAAAAGAACCAAGGGCTTCCGGAGATCGGTTACTGATCCAGTCAACTGATGTCTTGTAAACAGCTTCAGGGATATGTGTCACTGGATTCTGCAAAAGAAAAAAAGAGAGAATTTGGAAAAAGAGTAAGAATAAACGGTTTGACTACATCCAAGAACCATAATTCCTGGTAAGTTAGAAACTTTATTTATGTTCATGATAATAGGTTAGTATGAGAATTTCTTCTATGTGGACATAGCATTAACATATCTGAACAGAACATGTGAACAAGGAAGATGGATGACCCATACAAATGAAGATTAGGATGCTTGCAGAATCTATGTCTGACATCCAAATTTTCATAAAGCATTAAAATAAACCATTTTCCCTTAAATAGGTTGATTTCATGTGATGGGTCCTGAAATCTAATAACAAGACGGCCAAATAAGACAATTGTGATATTTCTGCATCAAATTAACAAAGTCTTAAACAAGTATGTAAAGATTCAGATACAAGCATTCCAGTTAATTTATTATAAAGAGAAAAACATGTTGAAACTTTTATACCAATTAAGATGCAAAGACCACAATTAGCTTCTTATTATAGAAAGTTATAAGAAGATTGCCATTGATGAAACAAATATGCTACAATGTTAAGAATAATAATCTTGCATCTAAGAGAGTTGTAAGCATTTTACTTGGTACAAAAATCCAGTCACCATCCAGAAGTTGGAATTAGAACATATGTTTCCAAGAGCAACTTTGAAAAAAAGTTGGTAGTAGTACATGCTGGAGATATTTTGCTCTAATAGCAGCAAGTGGGTGAAATGCGTCTGTAAACCAAAGATGTATCTAGATATGCTCATGCTCATTACCTATGTTGAATTATTATTTATTGGAAAATTCACCTTTACCAACATTCTGACGAACAAATGGAATGACATAGAATTGCAATTATTATCAAAATCACAGGCATGAGATTTGGTCTCCCTCCTGTTAAACTTGTATCACCATTTCTTGAATATTGGAAATTCTGATGTTTTACACTTCGTGTGCATGGACCAAATCACAGATCATAAGCAAGTTAATGGATTAACATAATAAGCTCCAATATACTCTTGGTTCAAAGTTCAAACAAATGTAACTTCATTTCTAGTTGTCAAGCATACAAGAATATTGGTTGATCAGATAGACAAAAAAAAGAAACAGTTCCTTTACATTAAGACGATGGAAAGGGTTCCATGACTTGCAACATATTACTGAAACAATAATACCAGATACATCCTATTCAAACTCATCATACCTCAGTCTGCATTTCACCCACACCTCATTCATGTCAGTGAGTAAAACAGAACAATCTCCCTATTCTTTATGTTAAATTGTTAATGTAACTCTTTCTTGTATCTAAGTAAATTCTAGTTGCTGCATTCACCCAATTCATATCAGATGTAAAATTGGTACAGTTCCTTATTATTTGCTTAATCTTATTCATCTATTTCTCACCATTGAAAAAATTTGTACTGGAGCTAGCAGTTCAGTGAGCTTCAAAACAAAAGACACCAGATCATACAAAGGGCTCAACATATTTAGATTTCACAACTAGTTTATATTACAAAGCCATACAAATTATACATTAAGTAACAAGCTGAAGAGTCTCAAAAGAACTTACATCTGCAACCTTTGCGACAGCAGACTCTCTCAATAACTTCACCCAAGGAAACTGTGAAGCACTGACACTAGAAAATGCTCGTCCAAAGTAATCAGCAAACCTCATCAACTGTATCTCATGTTGCGTCTCAAATGAAGCCTGTGTGTATAACCAAATCCACATGATTAGTGTTGGTTCCTAAAAGTTCAACTAAGTACCAAACTAGTTCCAAAAAGAATCTATAAAGTAACGTAAAAAATTATCTTATTTTTCTCTCAACAGTGCGTGCTGTGGTGTTTAACGTGTTTTTAACCAAGCCCTACATTCAATGTACAGCCAAATTCAAGATCAAATTCCTGAAACTATAAAACAAGTTTGAACCAATTACAGATCAGTTTAGACAAAATACCAAACTAAACCTAACCTAACTCTAACCATGTTTCCTGCCTACTTAAAACGAATCCTTCCAATCCAACAAACGAATTTCAAAAAATTCAAGAAATTTCAGCTACTAATAAAACAATCCTTTCAAATCGGTTAAACTACGAAACTGAATCTAAATTATTCACTCACCGATACATCGGACAGAAAATTAGCCAAGTCAGCTGCATCGATCTTCGCCGCCGCTTCCGGAACCGTAACCTTAGGTTTCTTTACCTTCTTTGGCTTCGTCTTCTTCTCCTCAGTGACACCATTACCAACCCCATTGGCAACAACCTCTTCATCGCTATCCTCATAATCAGAGTAGTTATTCTTCTTTGACGATCTAGCCGGAGGGGCAGGATCGTAAATCGCCAAATTCGCTAATCTCTCAGCTTCAATAACCTTCCTACGCTCCTCTGATTTCTTCTCAATAGATGTGAATACATTATCAACAACAGAAACGGAAGATCCGTTAGAAAGTACCTTCGCCGGCTGCTGCTGCTGCTTCGCCGGATTCTTCCTCTGCTTCTTAGGGTAAGTTACCTTTTGCCATCCGTGATTGTTGTTGCTTTCTTCAGCAATGATGTTCGATTCAAACTCCATTTTTCTGAATTGGAATGAAGAGAGATTTGATAGAGAGGAGATTGGGAATTTTAGACGGGAAGAACGATGGAAATGCGAAGGGTAGAGTTTCGTGTTCGAATTGGAGACTTTTACTAGCAAAATGAGTTGACCAGGGATGGGTGTGGCAGCGTCGGGCAGTTGACCCTATTTGCTATGAAAGTTGTACAGTATGCATAAAAACTTGTACCGAGAGTATAAAACGACTGTCTTGTATTGTATAACTAGTCGAGGGTGATCACATGCGGCCACATGGTGTATATTGCAACAAATGTTATTGTATAAAAATGAAAAATTAATCATAAAAATCTCATTTTTTGGTGTAATTTGTTTAAATCAAAGTTTCATTACACTTTAAATGATTCTATGCTTAAAAACAAACGTGTAACTTAGAGGTCGTTTACTAAACGTTTATCCAGTAAGTGTTTATTGGGTAATTTTCTTTACCGGATGAACATGACAATGGTCAAAAATCTTACCCGGTAAGAGGAATGATACAGATGAAGAGTCTTACTCGGTAAGTGAAGGTGACGACTCTTATCCGGGTAAGCGTTTACCGGATAAATTGTTGCATACGATATCATTTTGATGTACTCGGTAAAATAAATTGCAATATTGACTCCTAAAGGTAAGAGCTTACCGGGTAAGCATTTAGGTAAACAACCTCTTATTCTAATTTTTAAGAGTAAATTATATCTTAGTCCCTATGTTACACTTGAAATTTGGATTTGATTCCAAAAGGGCTAAAACGTATTAAGTACACCGGTGGTTCCTATTTTTTTATTTTCATGACATTTTAATCCTTCGAGTTAACCATGTTAACTTAAAGTAATCATACGCCTCTCATGGAAGGGAACTTCTCTCTAGCTTGCTTAGCATAGAGTTCCTACTTGCATGAAAAACGTTCCCCCTCGCCTCACGTGGAAACTCTTATCACGACCTCTCTCACGTTAAAGGGGAAGGCTCACCGAGATGATTTGAAAATCGTCATTTTATCTTTCTATTTTACAGCAAAGATATATAACCCTCAAATCTAAAGATCCATCTCAAAATCTACATACGTTACATCTTGTGATTCACATTGATCTTTAGCTTTGGAAAGGTTGTCCTGAGGTTGGAGATATTGGAGTGATTCACCCATAAGTAGGTTTTGTCGTGTAGAAATGGAACCAAAGGAGGGTAGTTTGTTGGAGGTTCTTCGCCTCATATTTGTCCTCATGTACGGTTTGTTGTCTATTGTTCGTCATATATGGTTCTTTGTCTCTTGTTTGTGGAGACTTAACCAGATACGAGGGTGATAGGTGAGTTTCAATGAAATGGAACGAGAGGGGTATCACCGAGAACCATACAAATGGAGAAGGTATCACATTCAATATGAAAAAGTAAATTTCATTTATTTTTTAAATGGGAAAAAAAAAAAGTAAAATGACGAGTTTGTCCGTCACATGTTAGGGTTAAAGATCTCCGATTAACAATAAACGTTATAAAAAATACCAAAATAGGAATCATTGATGTACTTGATGCTTTTTAAAGATCAAACCCAAAATTAAGCATCCACTCATTGACCAGTATGTAGTTGCTCTATTTTTAATGGTGGATTTTTTATAAAAATAAATTTATAATGATCAGGTATTATGTGTTTTTGTATGACTTAATATGATCATTATATATCTTAACTAATTTATCAGATGGTTAGTGATTTGTTTTATGGAGTTTGAAGAGGTTTAAGAATTTATATGTATGAAGTAATTACATGTATCTTTAACTTTTAAGGGATACACATTAACTATTATGAACCGTTTAAATTGTTGTTTTAAAATTTTGAACAAAATATTTTATAATCTAATATATAAATCTCTTAAAAATAAATTATTAAACATTAAATTTAAATTTACATACATAATTACAACTTATTACTCTATAGATCTAACTCACAACCAACTTATAAACACATACATAAATGCATAATAAGCGTCGAGCATTGTTAATATAAAGTAATTTTCGGTCATTATATTTATAAAGAATCATCATTATTCAAAATAAATAGACTTTTTCTAAATATAAACCATTTAAATTAAATCAAGTGTTGTAATATATTCATCTCTATCTTGATTTAGGTTTTTAAAATTTTGATTTAATTTTTTGGTGATTACAGGTAGATTTGGGTTTCATTTTGATTTTGAGTTTTGGTGATTAAGGTTAAAATTTGAATTTGATTTTAATTTTATTAGATTCCGGTTTGATTTTAGTCTGGAGTTTAGTTTGATTTTGAGGCTTGGATTTGTTTTTGAGTTTTTGGTGTGTGTTATATTTTATGGCGGCTAAAGATATGGTAATGGTCGGAGAAGATAAAGGTGGATGGCTATGTTAAAGATAATTATGTAACAGGTCCCTAAAGTTTGATGGTTTTTGTAAAAACAAGAAAACATGTAAAATGACTGAAATACTTCTCATTAAATTGGACTTAACGGACAAAGTTAATGGTCGTTAGAAGGAGTGACGAAATACGTTGGGAATCGACAAATGTGAGGGACAAATATATTAAAACTAAGTTGAGGGACGAAAGCTGTTGAAAGTGACAAGCGCTATGGACCAAAGGTGAACTTTACTCTATGTTAACAAAAACACAACATCATAAGTAATTGTTTGATTAAACGTTTTCGGCTCTCTATGTTTTTTATCTAGAAAAGTAAAACAAGTTATAAAAATTAAAAAATAGAGTAAATTAAACTTCTGGTCTATGTGGTTGTCATCCACTATCAACTCTCGTTCTTCGTTTGAACTAATTACTGTTTTGGTCACTGTGGTTGCCATTTTACTTCACTTTTGGTTCACATGGCTAAGTTTCGTTAAAAGGGTTCATTAAACTCGGTTTTTTTTTTGTCTTTTAATATTTTCTTTAATTTTCTATTAAAATTAAATACATATGTTATCGTATTATATATTACCATTGTTGTTATTACATTTATATACACACACAACAATCTAACCTAAACACCATGGAGACCAACATCGTCTTCTTCGCTGGACACCTTGTTGTCTCTTTATTTGCCGAAGACCTTCACCACTGTCTCATTTGTTGGATCAAATCTATACAACCCCACCACCAAGTATCCTTAAATTGAGGGAATTCAAATGAGCACAACTGCAAGCCCTAATTGTAGTTTTTAAAGATCATAAGGATCCTAACAGATATAAACTTTAAAGAGTAACTCTTGTTTCTGAAACAACTCCATACCTTACCATTTGATGTACTTTTGGAAGAAAAAACCATAGAGAACAGTGCATAATGTTATTTGTTGTAAATTATAATCAAGATTTGAACAAAATCATTATTTGACATTTAGGTAGTCGAATTAACGTCAACAATAAACTAAACAAACTTAAGTGAGGAGGGGGATGGGGGTTGCAGGTCTACCAGAAACCAACCCCTATTTTCTCGGTACCAAACCACAAAGCAATCCCAAATCAAACAACAACAAAACCCAATTTTATAGTTCAGCGGCAAATTTACATAAGAAGCCTTGAGTTGAATCAAAAACCATAAACCAAAATCATCTGAAGTTAAATCAAAACAAAATAAATATTAAAGCTATAATGGTTTACCGTGGTGATAATAATCAACAATAACTCCAATGTGTAGAAAGGAGGTGCATATCGGTGAGTCTAGAGATGGCCAAATGGGCCCGACCTGGGACCAGCGGAGGACCGGGACTGGGACCAACTTGGGACTAGCCCGACACGGTCCCAAACGGGACAAAACCAGTATGGGACCGAGTATGATCGTGACACCCTAAAAGGATGTCGATAAATAAATATGAAAAAAATGGGGAAAAGATAAAAATGAAACTTGGACAAAAAAATGTGAAGAAAAACGTGAAAAGGGCCAATCATATCATTTAATGAAAGTGAGAAGTAAAAAAAAAGAGTTTTTACTCAATCGGCCTAAAAATGAAAGAAAATGTTTGGCCGGGATTTGAAAACAACTTCTTTAAAGCTTCCTATTGATTCGAATTTTCATTAATTAAGACAAAAAAGTTTCAGATGTTATGTAGCCAACATTTCCTCTACACTTTTGCTTCAAGAAAATCAGTATTTCGTCGAGTTTTGATAGAGAAATCGGAGGTTGAAGTTCGAATTTGAAAAAAGCTCTATATATTGACTATTGGAGGTAAAACACTCAACCAATTTTTGAGTTCTTTATATGGTTAACAACTTTTTCAGGTTCTCTATCGAACCTTAATAGTTTTATATCTCAAATTTTAGTTTTGGAGGTTCGATTTTTAATTTTTCGAGTGATTTTCGAACCTAATCTTAAAATTAGCAAATGAGACTCGATACTTGATGGTGTTCGTTGATTTTTATTCATATGGTTAAGGACAATGATTTTCTAGAAGTTTTGTAAAAACAAACACTAAAAACGATCGAAAAACAAGTGAGAATAGGTGAAAAATGCCAACAGCCATTGTTGGCCGTGGCCGGCGCCAAGACGCGTTCTGGCCGACACTAAGGCACGACTAGGCCGACGAGACCGGGCTGGATGCATAGGGATGCTTTTCTTTGGGCCAATTTTTGTTCGGATGTTTCTTCTGGATGTTTGGTTATTGTTTGGGCCATATCAGATTTGTTAAATAAGGTCCAACAACGATTATTTCGGGCTTAGGTTAATTAGGATATAATTATTTATATTATATTAATTATTTAGTTTACTTGCTAAGTTAATTAGTATATTACTTAAAATTATTGTTTAATTAATATATTCATTTATTTTAGAATATTGAATTTAATTAATTAATTATATCATAAAGAGGTGTTTATAATGTTGTTTATTTAAATTTAAGGGATGGATTCTAAGCGTCGTATTTTAGTTAAATATCATTGAGACGTTCCAATGCGGAGCATATGTTTTCTTATAGTTACTAAAACGATAAATTGATATCAAGAGTCATTATCAAGTATAAAATTTAGAGATTTATTAAATTATTTTGATAACTAAATAATGGGAGTAAAATATCATAGTTTGAGTTAAATATTTACTGAGACGCTTTAATTTAGAAAGATGGACTTATAAGATTATAAAAAGATTATTTTGACGTTTTGGGATGTCGACAAGATTTAGACTTGGGGTTTGACTAAAGTTAGTCGAGGTTGACCAAGAGCCGATTTTTAGCTTATTTGACACATAAATATTTTAAAGATGATATCAACTGGTGATACTTGAGATGTTAACAGGCTCGATTTTGGGGTTTGACTTAAGGTCGGGGTTGAGTTTGACTATTGTTGACTTTTGAAGAAGTTAAGTCATTGGTTATATATTATGATACGAAATGTATAATCTTCGGTCAAGAGCTATCAGTAGCCGATCTACACGGGCAAGTGAGTCTTCATGAGACTTACAATGGGATGCATGTTTACGTACAAATTTATTTTCGAGCATCATATGATTTGTGTGGTGATGTGTACGTATGTATGATGTTTCAGTTTACATACATTATACAATATATTTTACATGTATGTTATTTTTTGATTAGTTGCATGCTATGTATTTATTTTGTTTCTAAATAACTCTATCATGTTCTTTCATATGGGAGTTTTATGATCAGTTTTAACAAGTGGACATTTGACCAGGGTGTCACACGACAAATGGCACGAGCCCGCAATAAGTGCCCAGACAGGTGCAGGTCCAACAATTCAATGAATGTCAGTGACTAAATGACCCATACCCGATAGACAGTTTATGAGATCTCTCTTCTTTCGGTGTTGCATGTTTTTTCAGAAAATGCATACTATTTGGTATGGAGTTTACAGGTTGATATGTATGATGCGAAATGATTTTTACCCACGTAAACCATGAACTCACCGAGCTTTACAAGTTGACTGTAATATGCATATTAGGGACAAAAGGTTTCATGTTGGACAAAGAAAAAATGCACACATAGAGACTTGTCTAGTTCATCTAAGTCAACATGTTCAAACATTTATGATAGATAAATTTGTTACGCAATCCGGTATAGGACGGGTTAGAACTCAATAATTAGATATTTGGTTTAATAATATAATTTTTTATAAATATAATAATTAATTATTTTATTAGAACTCAATAATCATCATAATTATATTTTAATATTTTAATATTTTAAAATGAGATGTTTATCATCTATTTGATTATGTTTATCTGCAGTTAGTTACACAAATTCAAACATGAAGCTTTAATAAGTTGTTCTTACGCACAATTTACTCATAATCTTGAATTTTAAGTAATATGCATCAATAAACAGTACTTCATGCATAAAAAACGTGTTTTTAAGAGTTTTTGTCAAATTTTTTTATAACATGGTATAGATTCAAAGAAAAGTTAATTAAGATGAATTTTTTTTATCAATCAGTTGAGCTTACTCAAGTCTTTGAAGAAATATCAAAGATAAAAACAAGAGAAAAGATGTATTACAGTAATACCAATATTTTCTTTTTATTTTTTCATTTGGTTATAAGACTACCCGCAAGGGCCTTGCAAATGAAATTGTAAATAACGTTTTGTCATAATTGTAGCTGCTATATAAAAAAACAATTGCAAAATTTACAATGACATTGAAAGCCACCTAGGCCATCAACCTCTTCTCCGTTTTTTTTCTTTTTCCTAATTATTTTAATAAATTAATTTTTGTATCAAACAATGAATTTTATAAATTAATAATACTAATATATTTATTAATTACATTAATTATTCTTATATGAAAATATTCTATTTATGTATATATGTTATTAAAAAAAATATATAAATAAAATATAACTAAATTAATTTAAACAGTAAATTAATAATATCAATGTAATGTTTTATTTCTATTTATATACAACATTTTTAATTCAATAAATTTTGTGTTTTGATATAACTTTAAAAAATATGTATTAAATTTAAAACAACAAATTATAAAATAAATAAAATAATTATATTAGATTATTATATTACATATCAACTATTTATCTGAAATTAGTGTTATAAAATAGTTAATAAAGATTATAGTGGGAATCACTTTTGAATGTATAGATGAATTACAAGTGTATAAAAAACAATTATAAAAGTTGATATGATACAATTGAAAATGTAAATGAATTGCAGGATGTGCGGGCCCTTTACCAAACATTTATCCGGTAAGTGTTTACGGATAAAATTTAACATTATTATTTATTTATCATGTAATATTTTAGTCTACCAAAACAACATAGTATTCAACAATTTACCCGGTAAGCGTTTACCTTAGTAAGAGTCTTCACCCTCACTTACCGGGTAAGACTCATGGTTCTTGTCTCACTCTTACCGAGTAAGATTATTAGTCCTTACCATATTCAACCGGTGAAGTAATATGACTTAGGAGCCGTTTACTAAACACTTATCCGGGTGAATAATTACTAAGTCACATTACTTCACTGGATGAATATGGTAAATACCAATAATCTTACTCGGTAAGAGCGAGACAAGGACCATGAGTGTTACCCGGTAGATGAGGGTGACGACTCTTACCACGGTAAGTGCTTACCGGGTAAATTGTTGCATACTATGTCGTTTTGGTGGACTAAAATCTTACCTGATAAGTAAATAACAATGTTAAATTTTACCGATAAACACTTACTAAGTAAGTGTTTAATAAACGACCCGTTTATAATTACTTATCTGGATAAGTGTTTTATAAACGTCAAACGACATCTAATTCTCCTAATAGGATCGGCTCCCATCTGTTATTTTATCGATATCATAACTCAAGGGGTGGTTTGTGTAACATTCATAATTCAACTTTGACCGAATTTACGACATACCACACACACCCTTTCCCTCATTTTCCGACTGCGCTCTTATATCCCTGCAAAACGCCGCCTCTAGCTCCACTGCCGGAGACGGGCGGTCCATCATTGTGACATCCTCTGCCCCCAGCCGCTTGTATTTTCTACACCTTCTTTGGCCACTCCAATCGCTATCTAATCCGTAAGTGCATTTACCATGAACATATCCGGTTTTAATATTTAAATTAGCCTTCGTATAGAAAATTGCCCCAATTCTTCATCACTCTTTCTATTTTCATTTTGGTTGCGGTATATTACGATTATTACCTTTTAATTTGTTTGATTTATGGAATTAGGGTTTTGTTTGAAGGCATATGGTATGGCTATTACAATTTTTATGATTATACAGTGTTTTTATTGTGATGTATGATGTTTTACATTAGCATTTCTGTACTCACAAGATACAACCTTTTTTTTTATACTGTTGATCACTTCCAAAGGCTTGGGTATACTCCAGTTGAGGAACTGAAGAGTGAAGAGTGAAGAGTGATAGTTTAGTTGACCTGAGAAGTCTATGGGGTTAATTCCATCAGGGATCTGATGAGATAAGAGGAAGTTTATACGTACTTGTAATCTAGTTTACATAACCACAAATAAGATGAGAGGAAGGATTTGCATGTAAATGACATTCCGCTATATATGGTTGATGATCCATAAGAATTTAGCAAATGTCTAGAGATTCTTAACTATATTCCTTACTGAAGCATGGAATGTCTCAAGTGTTCCTGCAGCATATATCCAGACCAGGATATCACAAATATACTCCTAGGTTATAAAAATGCATTTTGTGGAACATTCGAGTGAAACAAGAAAAGAAGGCTAAATAGGTTAGCATCTATGTGAGCATACCTGTGCCTAGGGCTGTAAACGAACTGAATGAACATGAACTCGTAGGTTTAACTTAACCGAATGAACATGAATGTTAAACGAATATTTTTTTGTGTTCATGTTCATTCATTAAGAAAATGTGCTTGTTAGTGTTCGTTTATGTTCTTTTGTTAAGATGCTGAACGAACATAAACGAACGAACACAATTGAACATAAACGGACGGACATTACTCATCATTTCGTTCCTCAAAAATTACATTACAAAATGAAAATCAAATGAAAGTCGGGTAAACTTAGAAGGGATAAAAAAGAATTCTTAAATTTAATTTAATTAATGATTTTACATTTAATTCATAATTTATAAATATATTTATACATATAAATGACGTAAACGAACGTTACCGAACATACATGAACGAACGGGGACCATTGTTCATGTTCTTCATTTAACTAAATGAACAAAAAAATATATTCATGTTCGTTCATTTATTTATGAACTTCCTGCCATCGGTTCGTTTACAGCTCTACCTGTGCCACTGCCACATACTCTTGTCTTTGTTGGTATTTCACCGGTGAACATGTTTGTGATTTAATTCCCCCCCCCCCCCCCCNGTGTGTTGTGTTGGTTGTATATGTATGTACGGTTGTTACATGCGTGGGGGATTTGGTTTGAGAAAAAAGAGAAGATCCAAAAAGAAAATGAAAAAAGAAAAAAAAGAAGGTTTCTGTAATGTCACTGAAACTCGTTCAACTGCTTATAGTTAATTTGATGTTAATGAAATTTATACACAATTAATCCTATTAGAGTTGTTACCTTTTGTTGGATTTCCTTGCTCCTTTTGTCCAACCTGATCTTATAGATTTTTTTTTTCTCACTAAACCTCTATGGGATGTAAACAAATCCTAGATCAAGTTAGCTTAAGTTTTTTTATTGCAGATATACACTTGAAGTGGAACTACATCGGTCTTCTGCATTGGGAGGTATGTTCCGCTTTCAATTTCAATCTAGATATCCTCATCACTGTTTTGACTTTTACACCTTATGCCACATGGACTAGTCCCTTCACTTCAAGGTTGAGAATATATCAAGTTTCAGTTTTGTTTGTGCTGTGTATATTTGTATGATGATATGATCTGTCTTAACAGATCACTGTCTGTGCTAATATATTTGTAATAACATCTGTAATGATGTTTCTGTGTATCTGCTGTTCTTGCTATGTATATGTATTGTCACTTGATTTTCTGACATGTTATGATGTATTTAATAAAAATAAAAGATCAAAATTAAAACACAATACAAAAGTTGAGCATGGACTAGGAGCAGCTTCAACCTTTATTTCAGTACAATCAACTTGAATTAATAAAACCTTCAAAATAAGTCGTTAGAGTACTGGAAAAAAATAATATGTCAAACAAGCACTACTATTGTGATTAAAAGTTTAAAACCCCTCGAGCATATCTGTGTGCACTAAAACAAACCGGTGTGCAGTGTGCACAATTCCTTATCTTTCAGAACACGGGTAATGGTAGTGAAAACACGAAGAAACAATGAACCAATCATCGGAAGGCTTTAAGGATAGGTGTGTCTGTTCACGCAGAAAAAGGAGTTCCATTCTCTAACACAACTAACCTAATGTGGTGCCTTGTAGGTTGGCAAAGACATGCATCTTTTGTTGCATACTGTACTTGATTTTCATAGATTCAGTTTAGACTTAGTTCATAAGCAGATGTACTATGCTCTATTATATTTTGAAGTAGTAGATTGCTGTCTGTGTGCATTTTGGAACAAGTTATCATTCAATTCTTTTGCTGGTTAGTTTTGTCTCTATTGTTATCTTGATTGGCATGCTTCTTATACTCACAAGAAATGTAGAGGCTCTATTTACATGTCTGGCTGTCTTTGGATGCTGCCCATAGTGTTTCACGGCTACCATCTGTGGCATATTATTTTCATTTCAGATTTTGTTTTCAGAAACCAGACAGGTTTTCCATTTTCTAAAATAGTTTTCTTTAGTTTGATTAAGCTAGTACAGTGCCTTGTAGTGTGGTAAACAAATCACCTTTTGTTGCTCATTCATTTCATCACTATAGATTTAGTTTAGATTGAGCGCATGAGCTTACTATATTATGCTATATCATATCTTGAAACCTTATTCTATGTGCATTTAGGAGCAAGTTGTCTTTTCAACTTTTCACTAGTTAGTTTTGTCTCTAAAAGTATTATACTAAAACATCACATAGCAAGATCTGTATCCAATGAGACTAATCCCACGAACCATGTAGCGCTAACTTATGCTTAACACACACATGTACACGCACTTTAAACCGCAACAAATTACAAATCAGGTAATGGTGACACTGATAACACTGGGTAGGCTTTATATCACCATGTGTACGTTTCCTCGGCTAGGCCACTTAGGCTGTTCAGTTTCAATTGCTTTAGTGACCCTTTGACTACTCTGCATTTTTAACCACTTTTTGCAATAGTAAATAGTATATTAATATGCTTTGGTTTCCATATTTAGCACTGACTCAAGTTACCATAATCTTTCTGAAGTTTTTTAGGTTGCCATACAATCATAATGCCACGGAAGCCAACAAGAAGAGGCCAGTTAAAGAAGCCCCAGCCTGCCTTCTCTCGTTTGGCTCGTTCTATGGCCTTAGTTACCTCTGCTCGCAAGGTCAAGCAGCAGAGTGTGAATTCTCCAGTACACAGAAAAGTTCCCCCCAAGTTCAATGGTATTTTTGTATGCTGTTGTACTGGCATATTGTATTGATCACTAAAATCTTACTTTCTGGTTCACACGGATTGTGAAAGCTGAATTCTGATTCTTGCTTATAGGTAGCAGCAAGGAGAAACATGATACTACACAAGCAAAGAGAGAAGAGTCACATTCTTCTTCTGAAGATGAGGATTTTTCTTCAGAAGATGACATTGAGGTAACTATATAGTGAGCCTAAGTGCCTAGCAAATTGAAATCTTTATGCATACATTCTATTACAATTATATTTATTTCAGTTTGTTGAGTTTTGAAGGGAGTTGTTCAAGCTGATTTTGCCTTCTTTGACCCAAAACCCGATGATTTCCATGGAGTGAAGGTCCTGATGCAGACCTACCTTGATAATAAAGAGTGGGATCTGAGTGGCCTTGTCGACTTGATATTGCAGCAGACCACTGTAGGAACTGTTATCAAGATCGAAGACGACGAAGACAATGGAGTTTATGGATTTGTTACAGCTCTTAACTTGCAGAGATATAAGGTGAAGGTTAATTTACGGCATTCAACCGTTGGTTGTAACAAGCAGCCTCCAAGAATCTTAATTTTTTTTAATTGCATATAGCTGATGTTGTTTTCTTATCCAGGACTTTAAGTGTATGATGGAACTGAAAGAGTTCCTACTCACAATGTGCCAAGACACAGAAATAAAAGATAATTTGAGATCATATTTAGGAGAGCAAGCAGTAGATGTCGGTCTTCTGATTTCACAACGTGTCGTAAATCTTCCTCCGCAGCTTTTACCACCAATGTATGATGGTCTCTTTGACGAGATCTCCTGGGCTACAGAAGATGAGGTTAGATTAGATGTTATAGGAATTGAAGAGCTTAATCAACGTTTTCTCTATTAATCTTTACCTTTTCATCCTTCCTGAAATAAAACCTCATTTTATCTTCTTTAGGAAACTCATGTATTCTTGTTTTTGTTTTTGGAAGCCAACAAAGGAGCTTAGGAAGTCGTTCTGCTTCAAATATTATCTATTGGTCAGTAAAATCTATAAGGTAAGGTAACCTCACTTTCGCTGATTGTAACGAGTGTTTCTTTTGGTTTACAGTTAGACTATACTCATCTTTTTTTTCTTTTTTTTTCTCTTTGAACCTTTAGCATAAGAATGGAGACCAGAAAAAGAAGGGAAGTAGCTCAAGTGAAGAAGCCATAATCTACTTGAAGCCAGAAGACGAAATATTTCATAATGTACCCCTCTCCTCCTCTCTGTTTTTTAGAACGTCATTGTTCTTTAAATCAGAATTCTGATTGTTTGTCAAATGTTTCAGCTCAGTGCATGGTCCTTCTGCTTTCCCTTGCGCACTCAGCAGGTCACCACCAATGAGGCAAGTTTATTTCGGTTCCATCATATTTTGCTGTTTGAAAATTAAATCCAGATTAACCTGCTAATTCTCGTAGTTGGTGGATCTTGCGTTTAGGACGTGGGCAGGCGTCTCTTTTTTGTCGCATAAAATGTGTGGCTGCAATTTTCCTTTTCCTGTTTTCTTCTTTTTCTCAGTTGTTTCCGGTGGTGTAGTATTTGTATGTGCTTAGTCTCCAAAATTGTTTCTTTCCCAAATCTCACATGTTATGACCATGATTCATCAAGACTATCACTGCATTTGCAGTCAACTTTTATTTAAAATTTTAGCATCTTCTCTTGCAGCTGAAGGATTATCGATCTATGGGTTTAGTCATGGCTGTTAATGCGACCAGCATCCCAACTTTCCGACAACAGTTGCACTCATTAATAGATGAAACATAATAAGTATGCTGCTAGAAGGTATATTTAGCTCTTCCATTACTTATCTGTCGATATCCTACCTTGAAGCTTCTGACATGTTTTCATTTGTTATGCTTCCGCAGATCAGACTCGTTGGGTTCCTTCAATATCTGAAACGACAAACGTTCACAGAAATCTGGTAATGATTGTTCATTATGCAAGTAAAATCATAGGATCAGATTCGTAAAAGGCGGCATGCCTGAAAATTTTGTTTCCCTCATCTTTTTGTTTGGACCTGAATGAGCACTAAAGATTTGTGCACAAGAACATCCCAACAAATTATTTTATGGGCGAACTAACTCAGAAAGCAACGACTTAATGATATTGTAGGCGCTTCAAGCCTTGCGTTTGGAACTCGTGATAGTATTGGCAGGATGTACAAACACCACATTTGGCGTTAAATTATATTGCGACATGACATTAGTGGGACAAACATGCATTTTTTTCTGTCCCACCGAAATAGGCAGAACAAAAGTAAGGAGAATCGAGACAAGATTGGTAGATTATCGTCGAATTAAACACTTCTTTCTCCTGCCTTCCTCTCTTACCTGTCCGGTCCGCATACCAACATCTATTTTGAAAGGTGGTTACTTTGTAAAATAGAAGGGGTTGGAATGGAATACAATCGGGTCCCGGTGAGAATGTGAGTCATGATGAGAAGGGTAAGAAGGGATCTCCACTTTTGGATCAATCATAATTGAAGAGTTCCACTATATCAACACTAATGAAAAATACCGGATCAATTCCTTTCAGAAACGTAATTCATGGGTTGGTTTAAAACTAAAATTGATTAAAAGGTCCAAAACTACTATGCTTTTCACCTTTTTAACTCCTATTTTTACACGATATGTCCTCTGATGAAATATTGGTGTCGAAGGAAAATTGCATTTGGAGCACATGGGGTGGTCTAGTCAGAGAGTTAGTTGTCTTTTAAAAGTTTATGGCATTATGAATGCATTTCACATCAAGGATGGGGTAGGGGGTGGAGATGGGTCAGCTGGTTTTGATGGTCCATTGAGGTTGGTTGGTGTGGGAGTCTTTTCTTTCAAGATTCTTCTGCTGCCATATATAATCTTAGCTTCAATAATTCATTGAGAATGCAATTACAGTTGGGGAACATAAGCATAAAGCAGACAACCAATAAAGAGATGTTTGTCTTGAAATTTAATTATTTGAATGGTGTTTTAAGATGTTTGTGTTATGAGAGGGTCATTGGCCTAACAATATCTGGGTTACCAATGAAGTATAACCTTGATTCACAAACAGTTTTCTTGCATATTTCTAATACAAGATTGGATCTAGAGAAGCATATTTGAAGACCCAAATTACGGATTAATGGAATAAAAATAAAATAAAAGGATGAGTAGAAATTGAAGTTGATGTGTGTGAAGTCTGGTTTTATTGATTTATGTTTTTTTTCCTTTTCAGGTGAAACCCCTGACCCTGAAAAGTGAACCCCATTATTCCATTTTGAGTGAGAAGTGCCTTGTCCACATCAAACACTTCCCACGCCACAACTAACATCTTTCCACTCATTTTGAATCAATCTTTTTTTCTACTCTTTAAATAAGTTTTTCATATTTAACATTAATGACTCATTTGACCTAAAAAAGATTCATTTAGCAAACTTTATATATATATATATATATATATTTGAGATCATGTAAGACCAAAGGTTTTTCGTGAGACCCGTAAGACTATTTCTTAACCCTTGGATTAGATCTCAAATTTGAACATTCATAATCACAACCACGAGACTTCTCAATAATCACAAAATTGTCATCGTGCAGCTTTAGATCATTAGATCATTAGCTTATAAAGTTGATCAATGAACATAAATTAGTTTTACGGGTCTCACGAAAAACCTTTGATCTTACGTGAACCTATATATATATATATATATATATATATATATATATATATATATATATATATATATATATATATATATGGGTTAGGTTCTGGTGAGAATGAAAGTTAAGATGAGAAATGTAAGAAATAATCTTCACCATTGGATGCACATTAAGATGAAATGTATCAAAACGAGATGCACCGAAAATAGTATTGTTTGTTTGGTTCAATCATGTTGCGTATTGCATGTTGACATAGATATTTGTGTGTGTATCCTATTTCAATGGTCATATTGTCCTATTGATGTAAGATTACAGTATTTCCAACAAATTTTTATATAGTTTTCAATGATAAAAAGAAAGCTTTGAAATTTATGTGTTGATGCAAACACATTTATATTTGTATTAAATCACACTATGTAATATGATTTGCGGTTTTGAACTAGGAAATTTAAATTCTTGTTCAAATCGCTTCACATTACATATTATGAAAATAAAATAAATATAATAACATTTATAAATAATTAAAGGTATGTTGATATGGTCCATGAAAACAACCCACTTGTTATGGAGAACAATCAGGTACAATGGTGCATTGGAAATACAGTCGACTTGGTATGGATATTTTTTATTTTTCTTTCCGATTGGATTTTTTTAACTATAATTATTTTACGTATTTTTAGTTTGTTTTCGACGACTTTTTACCACGTATTTGAGACATATTTGAGTATCTCCAACAAGTTCCTTAAAATTTCTCCAAAATGAAGAATCAAAAGTCAAAATCTCCCAAAAAGTTACATTCATCTTTAACGGATTTCCAATTTTGAAGAATTCAACATTGATTATAATATTGAAATATTTCATTTATCTATTAAAATATTATTTCACTCTCTAAATATTTATTTTCAAAGTTTTTTGTCGGTGGTCTCACTTTGTAATCATTTTTTGGGTGTTCTCCATATTTTGAAAAAAAACCCATTCTATTTCCTACTTTTTCTATTTTAGAGATAATTTTAGGGAAGTTGTTAGGAGCAAAAATCCCTATTTTCTTGATTATCTCTATTTTAGAGAAGCCGTTAGAAATGCTCTTAAAACTTTTTATTGTACATACATGTAGATGTTGAATTCACTTTAAATTCTTATTTTTATAAATATTACAGTTGAAATGCATTAGGTATATAACTGCAAAGTGCATAAACCAAATGGGGGTGTGGGCTTTTTTGGTTGTTGGAGGCATATGCAATGCGGTTTACAATTATAGAAAATGCTCAAATCGCATTATAACATCTTAGGTTAATCCTATCAGATACAAACGAGTTTGTTTACATCTGGACTCAGGGTTCTAAAACATATTTGATAAATGAGGTATCTAGTTCCTTATAAAACAATCTTTATTCCCCTCTCAAACCGATGTAGAAGCTTACAATCCACCATTTTCGTAGCCCAACATCCTCGTTGGTACAATAGTCCGATTCCCAACTCTAATACCATTTATAACACCTCAGACCAACTGTACCAGATATTGTCCGCTTTGTCTACACTCAAACTCATGGTTTTAAAACGCATCTAACATATAAGGTATATATTCCATTACAAGACAATCTTAGTCTTCTCACAATCGATGTGAAATATTACACGCATATGTATTCTTTACAGATTGGTCGGCATGATATTTATATTTAATTTGGTTTGTCTAACATTTATTTTTATAACTCATTCAAATTATTATTTTTTTTAACAAGAAGCAAATAATAAATAAATGAATACATATATCCACAAAATTGTCGTCCTCAAGATCGGCAAAATAATTCTTTGAGTCCAAAATTAAATCGAATTATTAAACCCTTTCGATGTGATTTATTTGACAATAATTCATCCACTAATCCAATAATAAATATTAATTAAGTTGGCATGTTATGTTAGTCATAGGATACAAAGCCGGCATTTAAATATTCCTAAATATAAATATTAATATTAATATTTTAATTGTTCATACATTAAATTCTCAATGTACTAAGATTTAACATGCATTAATACATCATCATCATCATCATCATCATCATTATTATTATTATTTAATATACATTTAAGGGAATAACTGGTTTTGGTGTCTGAAATATAAAGAGGGTGTTTGGTTAGAAGTATTAAGTAAAAATTAATCGGAATGAAAAATATATTAAAAAAAAAACTGTTTGATTTTATATAACATAATGTGCCCATTTCACTACAAGACACATATTTTCATTTAAAAATAAATTGAGGAGGAAGTGAAAGTTCATCACCGTTTTCATTTTCATTTCCATTTTAGTTCTCTGTCTGAACCAAAAAGTCCTTGAATTCTATTGTCATTCTTGTTATAATGAAATGTCCTATTGCAACTATGTCTAATAATGTCTATCTTATCCCATTTACTCGAAATTTATTTTAGCACATGCTAAGGCTGAAATCATAAAATGCCATGTATTAACGGAGACGAAAATTAAAATATAAATAAGGGCAAAATGCACAAAATAGCAATCTACTTTCATAAATTTATTTATTATAGCATTGTACTTTCAGTTTTTCTTATTACAACAATGTACTTTAAAACTATTTTTTATGAGGACAATGTACTTTGAAAAATTTACACATTATAACATTGAGTAACCTTTTGATTTAAATTTACCCATTATACTAGGTTTTCATGCCACCTCATTGTCCACGTAGGCTGTCCACATGTACTATAGTGATGTGACTTTCTTGCCATATCATTGTACTTTCAAAATTATTTTATTATGGCATCTAATAGTTCTTATTAAACACTATATTTTTAATTTTAATATTTAGATATTTTATATGTTATTTAATAAATGTATTAAATGAATTAAAAAAAATTCTAAATTATTCATTAATATATCAATATCAATAAAACTAGTAGAAAACAACTTTATCTCGCTAACATTTTTAAAAAATATGTGTTTTTGAAAAAAAAAAATAAGAATTGTTCATTTTTTTTACCAAAAAATATTATCTTTTAAATAATATATTATATTTGTTCAAAAACTTTTTACTTGACGTATAAATATATTAAATTAATTAGACTTTTTTGAATTATTTATTAATATAACAATATTAAAAAAATATAGATAACAATTTATTTCGTTAATATTTTAAAGAGACTTTAAAAGATATGTAGTTATTTGAACAACATAAAATAGGAAAAATTACTTTTTTTACAAACAAAATATATCTCGAAAATAATGTTTCATATTTATTTAATAAATATTTTATTCTAAGAATATTTAATTTGAATGCAACTTAATAAGAAAAAGTAAAAAAAATTGAATTTTTTTTAGATAATAGCAATGAAAAATGAAAATCACTAATAATAATTTGAAATAAGTTTTTATTTTAATTTTAGTTAAGTCATCAAAATGATGTGGCATCCACATCGCCTCATTAAAGCCACACAAACAAAAAAAGTCAAAGGGTTAACCGGTTTAAAAGGTAACAGGTTACCCATTGCTATTATCGGT